TCTGTGACTCCCTCTCTCTCTGACCCTCCCCTGCTGCTCACGCTGTCTCTCTCTCTCTCTCTCTCTCTCCTAGAAATAAATAAAACATTAAAAAATTAAAAAAAATATCTATGGATACATTGTTAACTAGTTTATAAAATAAATATGAATTTGTGGGTAATACAATAATATGCTTTCACATTCTAAATTCTTTGACCTATGTTTTTTCTTACCAACAGAAATCAGTGGAGAAAACAATGATACTTCTCATTAAACACTGGCTTGCCAACACAATTGTAAAGTTTTACAAAAACGTTTTCTCTCCTTCATAAAAACCTTAGAGAGGTATTATAACAGTGATTTTTTAAAACACAGCAGACCTTAGCTCCCATGCCAGTAAATCAGGAAGCAAAACTCTATGTTAAAAACAAAGAACTTTTAAAAGGTAGTTCCTCATAAAAACTTAATGTGTTTTTAAATGAGTATGTATCATCATATGGATATAACTAATTCCTTACTAATACTTTTTCTGGCTGATAAAATTCACACGTGTCACAATTTACCTGAGAATACAGTAAGCTGGGAGAGACTGACTCAGGTACTAGATTCATGTAAGGACAACCACACTTGGTTTCTAGCTGCACTCCTCACAGCACCTCTGGTTCTCCTATGTAAATGAAAAGCATATGGGATCTTCCTGAAGTATTGATGTTTAATGCTTCAAACTGGCCAGGATTGAAACATGCACTTATCTTCAGCTTTCAGATGGCTATTAAGATACTATGGAAACGTTTATATGATCACCTCTTTTCCAGAGTTCATGGCTGTCTAAGTCAATGGAAGTACCAAGAGGTCACTAAGCATCCTAATGTAAAAGCAGGTCACTACAGGGGTGCTCCCTTTCTATTAGGGATCATTATATTATAATGATCTACTAAGTGATTCTTATATTTATTATTGGGCCTCCAGTATTTACAAGAGTGCCTTGCATACATGAGACATTTTTTAACTATTTATTACATGAATACTGATCCACACTACAATATAGGCTCTATGAAAGCACAGACAGTATCTGCATTATTATCCAGTCTTTTTACCACTAGCATGGTGTCTGGCACAAGACATCACTCCATAAATTTAAACTAAATGGATGAATAATCAATCCATCAAATAAGTTTCTCTGGGTACTTGCTGGACACAAAACTAAATCTAGTATCATTTTTGGAGACTCTGATGTTTGGGGACAAGGGCTGCAGGGATGGACATGAGAATCATAAGCTAAAATGCCAGAAAATGTCTCCCAGAAAACAGGAAAAGAATTAAAATAAACTATTTTTTAGAAGTCCTGACTTCTTAGTCAAATTCTACTTTAAGCTGTCACAAAAGCAAGTCTGGAGGTCTTGTGTCCATCATCTATTCATTTCCAAATGCCTGGCAAAGCAATTCATGACATCATGTGTTCTCATCCCCTATCCCAGACACCTTTCTAGAAATAAATCCAATCAATCAATTAATTCTTATTAAGTACCAATTCTATGCCCAGTCTTAGCTAGGTTTCTAAAGATGAAAGATGTAGTTTTCCCTTGGAATCACAGTGTAATCCAGGGACTTTAAGCATATCTCAGTTTCAGTGTAGGGGATTTACATAAATCCCTGAGACTTTATATTCACAGGGAAATGTACCCAAATGAATGAGGACAGAAGTCATCATCGTCATCATACCAAATCAACTCTTTATAAGACTTTTTTCATAAACATGATTTCTCATTTGCATTCACTAAAGTATCGTGAGTGAGAGGAGACATTGTTATGTCCGTTTTCATGGGGTAAATTTAGGATCAAGGAACTTAAATCACTTGACCCAAAGTAACACACATATAGTAAGAAACAAACACAGATCTCAAATCCAAGTTTTCCCATTCCAGAGTCTTCATGTTTTCCCCCAGTATGCTCTGCTGTTTGGAGATAAATATTGATCAATGACCCCCGTATCAACATAGATTCCTCTAAACCTAATGTCATCAATAGTTTATTCTTGAGACTGATGACACATGCAAAATGAGGTGTACAAAGATGATTCCAGAATCTCACAGAGACACTACTCCTTCTCAGAAAGCCTCAAATGCATAGCTCCTCCATCTTTCAGAGCCTCTTTTGAAATGTGAATTTGAGGGAGAGTTTGGGTTGCTTTGGCTTTAACTGCTACCCAGTACACAAATGTCCCTTTACTCTACATCCTCTTTGTGTCAAATCCCAAGCTTTACTGCTAGCTGCCTCCAAGCTTGCCAGAATCAAGAACTTGGATAAAATCTAGCTGGCGGAAATTCAATCCAGGCAAGACAAAAGTGATGCTGATAGGCAGAAGTATTTAGAGTAAATAAGGAGAAGTGCTGTTTCGCTGGCAATCGGGACATCATACCCACCAAACATAAACAGCTTTGTGGTGTTACTGGACTCTGTTGCTTCTGGACTTCCTAACAGCTACTGTGGCTGGAAATGCCATCTTCCATCTCCAGCTGGCTTGAAGGCTGCATACTGTCTTCCAAATTAAGATTCTGCCACAGTGATGTACACATTTGTCATATCCAGCTGGACTACTAGAATGCGTTCTAGCTGGTTCTCAATACACAAACTACATAAACGTTACAGACAACAGTGTAAAGTAATTTACTTGTTGGGAAAACCAGCCATCAAAATTTGATGCGTGCTTGGGTCTTTGGACAGGCCCTATGGCTGTCAAGTCTACAAAGGAACATTAACTTTAGTCACTAAAGACCAGGTTACATCATTGGCCAATGTGAGGCCAATGCCTGAGCTTTTTCACGAAGATACAAACAACTGATGAATCCGAGAGAAAGAAAGAAAGAAAGAGAGGGAGAGAGAGAGAGAGAGAAAGAAAGAAAGAAAGAAAGAACCTCGCTCATTGTAAAACAATGAACAATGAAACATTACATTAAATGTAAAGTTCCCTGTAAAATACACCAATTGGCAACATATTATTTCAATGAATTATCTGGCAGTTTTGATTGCACAGAATGTCATAACTTATAACTCTGATTAAAGAAAAAAATGTGTGTGTGTGTGTTTGTGTGTGTGTGATGTAATTTCTCCATTTGGAACAGGACCGAATGGCATAATGTATAATATAGGCCAAAGGTTGGCATTTCTTCCCTGTAAAGTACAGATAATAAATACTGTAACCTTTGTGAGCTGTATGATCTGTTCAACTGCTCTTAAGAAATGCAGAAGCAGTCATAGTACGTAAATGAATGAACGTGACTGTGTTCCAGTAAAACCTTGCTTATGAACGCTGAAAATTTTAAACTGTAAAAACCATTCTTAGTTTTGGGGCCTGCAAAAACCAATAATAGGTTGGAATTAGCCCATGGGTCACGGTTTCCTGATACCCATTCTATAGACTATATAAATTAAGACATATACTTGCGCACCACCAGGAAGTAGGCCCTAGGTCTGCTGCTGCTTTCCTGGGATATCTTGGGCAAATTATTAACCTACCTCAGTTTTATCATCTGTAAAACAAAGGTAACAACTTTAAAAATCTTTTTTTTTTTTAGTTTATTTAGTTATTTATTTTTTAAGTTTATTTATTGAGAGAGAAAGAATGAGCAGGAGAGGGGCAGAGAGAGGGAAAGAGAGAATCCCAAGCAGGCTCCACGCTGTCAGCAGAGAGCCCAACCCTGGACTCAGTCCCATGAACTGTCAGATCATGACCTGAGCCCAGTTCAAGAGCCAAACACTTAACTGACTGAGCCACCCAGGCGTCCTAGTAACCTTAAAAAAGTCTTAACGGATTATTGGGAGCATGAACCCTGATGATATGTTTGGCCCATGATACTAATTGTCTACAGGAAGAGATCAATAGATGCTATCTATTAGTGTGCATTACTATTTTGGAGTTAACTCCTCTTTAGTTTATTTTCCTGAAACGCTTAGGAAAAGAGTTTTTCTTATACTTAAATTTTCAAAATTATGTTTTTGAGTGCCTGACTAGTCTCAAGAACTCTCAAGGAAGGAGGGGACCAAGACTGCCCAAAGATATCAAAGAACATTTGGAGTGGGGCAGATGAAGGCACAGCCCCGAGTTACAAAATCTCCCTCTATCTGGGTGGACACCTACCCGATTTCTGTCTTCATTTGTCAACAGCTCCTCCTCCACACACTTATCCAACACATCCTTCACCAGGATTCTGTCCACCAGCGTGGGCTGAAGGAGGTTCAGCAGCTGGAGACACTCATCATGAGCGTTCTCAGAGGACGGGGAGGGCAAGTCGGTGAGCTCTGGGTTCAGGTAGCGGGCGGCTAAAACGCTGCCAGCTTTCTGAAGGGCCACCACGAACTGTCTGGCCCAGCCCGGGGGCCAGGCTCCCTTCTCCAAGGTGCTCAGCAGCAGTTCGGCCGCGTCGATGTTGCCGTGGGTGACGGCCGTCCTCTGGACGCGCTCCTTCACGTCTGCGGGGAGAAAGGTCAGGTAGTCCAGAACGGGCTCCACCTGGATGTACGTTTTCACCCTGCCCCTGAAACACGAGAGGAGGTGGCGAAAACTCTTGTCCGCACAATACCCGTTCGACATCTTTCGTGCGTGCTCGGAAAAGGGGGGGATTCTCGCCAGTAGACCGACGGTTGCTGCTTGCCCAGCAGGGGAGAGGCGCGAGCCGCGGGGGATCCGCCGCCTCGGCCGCCGCAGGGTCCACAGCCGGGTGCCTGAGGGCCGGGGCGCGAGAGCGCGGCCGGTCGCGCCCGGGCCGAGGCCGCCGGGGAGGGGGGGAGGGGCGTCCGGGCGCGGAACCAGGGCCGCGGCGGCGAGAAGCTGCGGGCGCCCAGGCGCGCTGCGTGCGACCCTCCGCTGTGCTCGCGGGGCCGGAGACCCGCCGCTGCAAACGCGGGAGGAAACTTTGAGCGCAGCGTTCCTCCGGGCCCTTCTTGTAGTTTCCCGGACTTCGGTTTCTGTTTCGATTCTCGTCCTCGTCTCCGTCAGGCCTTTCCCGACGTAATCCGCCGGGCGAGCAGTGTCGGTTTCGTGGGGGAGGAGACGCCCTTTGGTTGGTCCTGGCGAGGACAGTGTTTTGGTCGCGGGCACTGTGGGAAACAGAAAAGGAAAGTGAATTCGAATACAACAGCGGCGATCCCGCAAGGTTTCTTGTGCACGTGTTTTGACTTCTTTGCAGGGTTCTGCCTCAAAAATCAGACTTCTTTCCCACAGCCGTCCAGCATCACCCCTCGTCAGCTAAAACGGGGAGGGCTTGAAAGCGCGTGAGGCGGGACTTCCCAGTGCAGAAGTGAAGAGAAACTGCCTCCGATTCTGATGCCAAAGGGAAGGAGTTACCCTTGGTTGGTGCGTACAGGTAGGTTCTGCCCTGACCCGTGACGGGTGGTCAGATGGCAAGCACTGCCGGGAACAGGTGGAGAGGGAAAGCTAAGAAAGCTAAGAAGACACCTTTCCAGAGATGTGTAGACCCAGAACCGCAGGAGGAAGTGACCTCTGCACCTTTTCTAGAATAAACCTGACTTCCTGTGGGTCTCCCCAGACCAGCTCTTTCCTTTGGCAGTTTGGGGGGAAAGAGTGAATAATGATAAACGGTTTATTTTATTGCCGTATGTAGTATTTATTTGGCTTTGACCAGGGCCCAGCGACAGACGAAGAGGGACTTTAACCACCAACTCAGCTTAGGAGGAAGTCAAGAATGAAGGTTTTCTATCTCCCAGCCTCTAAGTTCCCCATATTCTTTAATATACAACTTTCCTTTAATAAAACAAAACAAAATCCCCAACAACTTATTTTTGATATAGCTGCCATTCTTTTCTTGGATTCAGTACAGAAAGTTTTGGCTGAAGCAGCTAGGAACTTAATTAGCAACTAATGTACCAACTTGTAGTAAACATCAACATTTGTCTATGTCATGAGGGAAAAAAAGACACCCACACTGAAAAATGGCAGCTTCGGTTCGGTACAGAAGCCACACAAAAGTGAGTTTTTCAGGTTGCTACTCATATTGTGCAGTCCTGGGTGACTGTGGGTAGTAGTGTATATACTTCATGATGAGAACCTATGGTCTACAGTTCTGTGGAGGACGGAGGGGGTCATTTAAGCCATTAAAAAGATACATTTAGGAAAAGTAATCTGTTAGCAAAGCACATTCAGTGAAGTTTGGATATCACCAGGAGGCCTGGTGCTGCTTTGGACTGGGTAAGAGAAATACTTGTTTTTATCAGAGGCATACAAAATATTCAGTTGAGCTCTTCATTTTATCTAATCGTATGCTCTAATTATATTATGTAGCTAAGCTTTCGTCTTCCATATAGGATTGTAAGCTGCTTGAAGAGAGGGCATATTTACACAGTAACCTGTACAATACAACAGTAGGTCCTATTGGAAAGTCCTTGGCAATTATCCCCGGTGGGAATTTGATTTGCCTTGACCTTAGCAGCTGGTCCAGTGTCAAACACATAGTGAAAGTTGCTGAAGTGAAATGCAACTTTGACCTTGCAGGTGAACCTGCTTTATATTATTCTTTTCTGTGTCTTCATAAAACACTACTATATATTTACTTATTTGGGGGAGTCGACCCCTTAAATAAAAGAGATCAAGTTAGATGTCTCTACAAAAGTATTCAGATTATCAATTTTAGTTATTGGGTCTGTGAAGGTATCTGTTAGGACTATTCCAAGAAGTTCCCTCCATGGCCCCTCCTCAGGTGCTGGCCGGTTTCATTCGGTATGTTAAGACAAAAACCAAATAACCAACCAACCAACCAACCCAAATTCATTGTCCCCTAGTAATTCCTCCCTCTGTCCTTGGGTTTCAAACACTGGAAGATACAAAGGTTTTGATGGTCAAATATGGGGAGATAATGTCATCTTCTTAACACCATGGAACTGCTGTTCGGGTGACAGAAGGTCAAAAGTAGAAGCTTACGTGTTCGGTGTTCAGATTACATCGCTTGTTCATACAATCATTTAAAAATATTTATTAAGTACCTGCAGTATGACCAGTGCTGCTCTTGTGCAGTTAATAAAACTGAACAAAGTTTCTATCTTTATGGAGCTCACATCCTAATGGGAGTGGGAAGACAAATACCAAATAATAGATAGGAAATAGTGTTCTAGTTGAAAACAAATGCTATGAGGACTGTGGTAAGATCCATTTCTACATGTTTTGTTGTTTCTGATACTATCGTAAATGAGATCATTTCATTTCTCTTTCAGATACTTCATTTTTAGTGTATACAAATGCTACTGATTTTTGTATATTGATTTCATATTCGACAACTTCACTGAATGAATTAGTTGATGAGACCTAATTAGGTTTTTGGTGGAGTCTTTAGGATGTATAGAATCATGTCACCTGCAAATAGAGACAGTTTTACTTCTTATTGTCCAATTCTGATGCCTTGTATTTCTTTTTCTTGCCTGATTGCTCTGGCCAGGACTTCCAGTGCTACGCTGCATATGAGCGGGGAGAGTGGGCCCCCGTGTTTTGTTCCTGATTTGGTAAGACCTAGATAATAATGCACATCATAGTTTCACCTGTTGGTTTTCCACATAGACACCCTCCTCTAACTCATACCATTAGCTTTGCATAATATCCATCAGTAACTATTCATATTTCCTCTCAAGTAAGAGTCACTTTGCTGGATGAGGACTGAATGATGAGGTCTGAGTGTGGGTGGGAAAGCCTGAGGGAAAATAGAAAGGAACATCTTTTTCAGGAATCTTCTATAATCTTGATAGGAAGATTCCTATCTTCTTCCCTTCTGGAAGAAGGAGACTGAGGAGGGGAAAATGCCAAGCCAGTCTCTCAAAACAGAAGCCACAGAAAAGTGAGTTCTTCAGGTTGCTGCTCATATTCTGCAGCCTTGGCTGATTTAGTTTATTTTCTGCTTTTTGTTGGAATAGGTGTTTTCCTCTGTCAATTTTCCTTTGATAACTTTCATTTTCATTCTCCTTCTTATTGTCTAAATGTCAGTTTCTGTTTCCTTTATCCTTGGGGGAAATTCTGTTGAACACTATCTTTTTTCCTTTTCTCTAGACCTGCCTTTTCTTTTTAAACCCAGAAGAAACATTTTAGCCCCCATCACCCCATCAATTTCAAAGGTCACTTGTTAACATTTTGTTCTTGAAACAGTAATTCAGAAAGATGCAAGATAGCTGACTCTTGCCAATATCCAATTTTTCATCTGAGTTTTGTGCAACTGAGAAGTAAAAATCATAGTTGCCACTTTTTTTTGGCAAACTAGAACTATAATTTCATAGCCACATGTGGCTTTAAGCTTTTTTTCTCAATTAAATTATAATAAATATACTTTAATGAGGAAGTCTCTAAAATTGTTATTCCTTTCCTTCATGTATTTACTAACTTGTATCAATAAAGAGCCTACTCTGTTTAATTTAAAGCTAGATGCCCTTAACTTAGCAGTATAGTGTTCTGATTACATCAGAACTCACATCTCAGCACTGCCTCTTTTTTTTTTTTTTTTTAGGTTTATTTATTTATTTTGAGAGAGACAGAGACAGCATGAGCAGGGAAGGAGCAAAGAGAAGGAGAGAGAGTCCCAAACAGGCTCCACACTGTCAGCGCAGAGCCCGATGTGGGACTCAAACTCAAGGAACTGTGAGACTGTGACCTGGCCCAAAACAAAGAGTCAATACTTAACCGATTGAGGCACCCAGGTGACCCTCAGCACTGCTTTTTATTGGTGTGTGGTCTTAGGAAAAATCACCTAAAATTTTGCATTTGTGAAACAAGAATACCAGCATCATGCCATAAGTTTGTTCAAAGGTTAGACCATAAGGCACTTAGCACCAGTCAAGAAGTGACTGCCAGCATTCTTATAGAAGCAATGAGTAAGAGATGGTGGTGCCTCTCTGAGAATGCACAATTTGTAGTGGAAATAAATTAGTTATGTATGTATGTAAACCTATATAATAACTAGCCATGTAATTGAGTTTTTAGACAGTATCACTTTTTTCAAGAAACAGAAGCTGAGAGACCGATTTAACAGAGAAGTTTATCGACAGTGTACTATTACAGCTTTATATTTCCAAAACAGAAGTTCCAAAACAGAAAGAAATTTTACCTAAGTTCATTAGGTCCTGATATTCAGTTTTTAATTATTTCTACGAATTCAGTTATAAAGGTCTGATTTTAAGCATGCATGTGTAACAGTTTTCTAAACAATGTTAGAAAAAAATCAGTTATCAGTGAACATTTTTCCAAACATCTGCTTTTCTAAATGCATCCTCCATAGCTTAAGATTTTTTAAAAACAGTCACTGGACATGTTTTTGTTAAAACAACATCTTTACCTCAAAGGCATAAATTGACCATGCTTCTTTTACTTGATTTAAAATTAATGGTTAAGAACAAGCTTCAATCAAATGTAAGTAGAGCATCATTTTTTCCCCTTGAAATTACGGTTAACATTTACTTGGTAAACACTTGGGGTTAGATGTCTCAGCCTGTGTTCATTCTGATAGAAGGGTTGCTGTTCTAATTACTTAATACCCACCCCGTACAATTAAACATTTCTATTTCACCTGTTCATATTATAATTGGCAAAGTTTTTGAAGTAGGTGTGCAAAAGAATGAGTTATTGAAATCAAATATTGACATAAATTGAATCACTCTATTTGAATTGCTAAATCACAAAGGGTTAAACTAAGATTTTTTGAAAATAACAAAGCATTACCAATTACAAAATATCTTTTATTATTAATACACTGGATTATATCAAGTACATTGAACAATCTTATTTCATCTTCATCTAATGCCTTACTATTTCATTTGTATTTTATGATATGTTATTATAGTTGTACACATAAAGATTTTTCTAAGTAAGTACATGTAAAAGTTTATTATGGCCCATGTTCAACTACTTTTACTAATAAGGAATCAAAAGCAAACTCCTTGGAGACCACAGCTCTAAAGAGCCCAAGGGCTAGAGGTTGTGATGAATTTGAAGAACAGGATTAATAAGAGTAGAAGACGAAGATGTGTAGGTGAAAGGAGGGCAATTCAGCATTTAGATCTTGGAAGAATATTTTAAGTTTCTAGTATTTGTGACAAATGTCAGTATACTAAGTTAACACATGCAAACAATATATTTCATATCATTGCCAGGCATGCAATAGGATATGAAATACATTCTTGAATATTTTAATGAAATTAATATTAATCTTTATTTAAGAAACAATTTATGTTCACTGTGGAAATTTTGGAAGGAAATAACACAATAATGAAGATGATTATAGTAATTACTCGTACTCCCATCACTCAGAGATAAGCATTATTAATATTTTAAGTGTCTTCCCTACCAATATTTTATTGTGTAAATATAGGTATATATGTCTGTGTGCATATACACATCTCTTCAACAGGGAGTGATCTGAGATGAGGAAGAGATCTCCAAGGAAGAGATCTTCATAGGGAGACCAGGTTGACATGCCAAGGGGAGAAAGGGTCTGTGGGAGATTCCCAGTACCAGGCATGGCCAGGATGTTTGGGCAGCAATGCCTATTGTTGAATAACAAGCACATTCCTATGTTGTACTTACTGTACTGACCCTTCTTTGTCCCACATCTTTCATAGAAGTCTGCCACCTAGAACCGCTTTGTGTTGTTGGTGCTTTGGTGAATAAAGAGAGCTGGTGACCCCATGTAGTAGAGCAGAGCTGCATAGGAAGAAAGTGTATTTGCTGAAATGGAGACAGGGAACATGGATTGAGAATTCCATCCAAGGGTGACAATGAGATCATAAACCGTCCAGGAATCCTTGAACATCTTAGGTATAGGGCCAGACTTACACTGCTCTGCAGGATGGAAAGGGCCATCTCTGTAGGCATGCTTTCAGCTACAAGATGAAGAATGCTGAGTAAATGTGGCCCAGCCAGAAGGATTGATTTTTCTCACATAACAAGAAGAGTCAATGCATTCATTGATGTCAGAACCATAGGATGTGTCCTGTCATTTTCTTGGTTTTTCTCTCATGGTTGTAAAATGGCTACAATAGCTACAAACATTATTTCTTCTTAGGCTTCAGTTAAAAGCATGTTGTAGAGGGGTGGAACACAGGGTTTCTTCCATTTGCTTTCTCCCAACAGCGAAGGAAAAAAAATATCCTAGGAGCACCCCCCGCCCCCAGCAAAATTTCTCATATATTTCACTGGCTGGGACTGGGTTGTATTCTCCATCCCTAAAATAAAGTGGTATCTGCTCACAAATTAAACGATTCTGATATTTAATAGTAAGGCATTGTTTATCATAGGAGCTCAAACCATTTTATTTGAATATTAAAATACAAAGATGACCCAAGGAAAGCTAGAAAATCTTGTTTTCCAGCTGGTTTCCCTACTGGAGCACACAGATTGCCCTGGGAGCCCAACCCCAATGGGTAGTACCAAAGCAGCCATTCAATTCTTGTGGTCACAGAGTGAGCTAGGAAGTTGTTCTCAAGCCCAGTTAGCTACATATTAGACTCACATGGAAAAATGTGTACAATTATCCATTGCATCCAAACCTCCACTGTTGGAACTTTAGTGTCAGTTATTTTCCCTTTCAATTCCACCTGCGATCCCACTCTCCAGCCAGAGGTGAGAACGTGGGGTTAGGGCCTCTGCTAGCCAAGGGCCGGCTGAGAGTCCAGCCGAGTCTTGTTCTTCATGGTCATTTTGTACTATAAAGTTGTACTGAATTAGTGAATACTGAAGCACTGCTCCCGGGAACATGCAGAATGAGGTCACACTCTACTAACAGCATTTTAAAAATGAATCAGTATATAACCTTGTTTTGTGTGTGTTTCTGTTTAAAGACACCTTATGTAACATGTATTGTTGATTCATTAACACTGAACTCACAGTGAACAGCACTATAACTCCTACCTGAGGGAAGCTTATCCAACACATGTTTTCTCTGAGAGATGCGTCACAGTTTTCCTGTGCTTCGAAACACAAGATAACACTTCAGGTCTCTGCTCGGAGTCATTTTAAACAGTGAAATCACCAACAAAAAGCACAAAAATGCAAAAAATTGGCACTAAATACACCATGAAAAGGACACTTGTTTATAGTATGAGAGCTGAAAGAAGAAGGCAGAACTTTGCCTTGTTCAGCCGAGGCTAGACTCAAAGTTTTCACTGCTCTGCACAGATCCACCAATGACTCATCAAAAGTAATGATTTGGGGCTTACAGATAAATTTGAGTGAGTAGGTAAATAGTTTCCTAGGCTACCCAGGAGAATATGAAAAACCCAGTTGCGCTTTCGGTACTTATTGAGTCACTCCTATTCAGTTTAGCTAAAGCTGTGATATAAATGAACATGTATTTTCAGCACTTTGTTATGAGAGATGTTGTACCAAACCCATTGACCCGGACATTGTCAGATATTTGCCTAGAACGAATGAAACGTGTTCCACATCACAGAAAATACATATACCTTCATGGCAGCAGCACTGTGAACACTTCAGAATGTAAATCTCCAGCAGATATTTCGAAAAAATGGATCATATATAAATTCAACTAAAAAGGTCCTATAATATATGTAAACTTGAGAGAAAGTAACAAGGGCAGAAAATCTGAATCGGAGTGGTGTTAGAAGAATCTTTGCTTATCTTATACCTGTTACGTAGGCCCTGGGTAGTCCCCAACCTGTTGGTTCAGCAAAGAGAATGAGGGAGATAGGCAGGAACCCCTCTGATTCAAAGCAACTGTCTTCTTTATGTTAAGCAACTGAAATTTCTTATACTTCTACCATTCAGAGGGAAGATAGAGAAGACTATCAAGAAATCCAAGTTTCACACCCAATAAAGCCCCATTGTATAGCCACTGTTATTGCAAGTCTGTCATACCTTTGGCAACTAACATTCAAACGGTATTTTGAGGAAACTTAATATGACATAGTGATACCTTAGAGGGGGTGGAGAGAGGCTCATTGGCAAGGCTCTGGGCCCCACTCCTACTCCAAAGACAACAGATCAACTTTTATACATCTTATACTTTGGGGCTGAGACTGGAGGAGAAAAGCACGCTGGTGGCAGAGAGTCTGGGTGTGATGCCCAGAAACAGTCCATAAAGATCTACTTGTACAATCAAACTACAATCAACTATAATCAAACAGTAAGGATTTTCCTCTGGCCCAAGGAATCAAGTTTTAAATTGACATCACTTCAAGTCTTTCTGGCACCCCTGAGGCAATTTCTTCTGAGGAAGACAAAGAATACTAACTTTGTGAATAAATACATCATTTTGAATATGACAGTGGCTAATCCCTGCTGACCCCAAGGCCCTGAATAGGACAGGAGACTCATTTAAAAAAAAAAAATTGTTGTGACAAAAAAGAATTCCATATTTTCCCATATATTTGGAAAAGCATTTTAAAATCTCTGTGCTGAGAGACCAGAACATGATGTATAAATAATTCTTTAAAGAAATAGAAATATTGTACCAGAGACTATTTTTGTTTTTCATTTTATAGAGAGAACAGAGAGTGTAAGAGGGGAAGGGACAGAGAGAGAGAGGGAGAGAATCCCAAGCAGCCTTCATGCCAAGGGCGGAGCTCTACACTGGGCTCAGTCCCACAACCTGAGCTAAAATCAAGAGTCCAATGCTCAACTGACTGAGCCACCCAGATGCCCCAAGTAGCACAGCCTTCTCAAATTGTCTTCCAACAAGTAAAACTATGAGTTGAGGTTGGGCAGCTGCCTTTGCCCCATCCAGTTTTCACAGAACCAAATATGACAAAAGTTGGACGAGAGTTCTGCAAACAGTATACCATATTGTTGAGGTAGGGAAAAGGACTTCTACCCTTGTTAAGAGTGAAAGAAAGCATAAGTAAAATCAGTCAGTGAATCAAAGAATGACACACCCAATTCACTCAGGCTGCAAATTATACCAAAATGATCCTAAAATGTATAACTATGTTATAGTTACACAACTTATGATTTACTTTTTTAAATATTTTAAAATATCTTAAAAATACTTTTGTAAAATATTTCCCGATTACTGCTAAAATAATTTAATCTTTGTTCCTTTAAATTTCTAAATAGAATGTGTGTTTATGTGTTGCATGTGCCTGTCTATAACACATATTTGTGTTGAAGGTGTATAGATTTAGGGAGTTTGCATAGTCCTTCCCAGCCCTTAGAACTGTTACCAAAATTTTGGAACTTATTTAGTGCAGATGGTGTTAATTCATTGATTCTTTCTCCCTCCGACGCAGTGAAAGATTCAAGAGAGCCATATTGTGCTATGTGGGAATTTATTTTTAATTATAGAGTGGTCAAGTTATTTTATTACTACAAGTGATCTACTTAAAAATATTATAAGATGAAGGATTTATGATTTTAATAGATGGATAAATGTAAATAAGGATGCAAGCACCAATTGTGAGTGATAAATATTTTCTTTTTCAGGAATAGTCTAGTTATGTGCACATAAATGTGCTGTATGTCATTGATTAGGAATTAAGAATAATATTTTGGGCACCTGGGTGGCTCAGTTGGTTAAGCAACCAAGTCTTGGTTTTGGCTTAGGTCATGATCTCCTGGTTCATGAGTTTGAGCCCTGCATCGGGTTCTGTGCTGACAGTGTGGAACCTGCTTGGGATTCTGTCTCTCTCCCTCTCTCTCTGCCCTTCCTGCACTGTCTTTCAAAATAAATAAATAAACTTCAAAGAAAAGAATCAAGAATAATGTTAACATTTAATATTTTTGGAGCACCCCAATGAATTATAGAGAAAACCTGAGCTTATTCACAAAATGAATTCCAAAAGCTGACCCAGGTTCTCAGGTGGGGCCAAGAACTGCCTGTGGCTCATTAAGTTCCTGGAACATTGATGACAAAGTCACTCTCCGAGGAGCTGGCTGACTCAAAGCAACCCAGGCCAAGTGGTGGACATTCAGCTGTACTTCCCCATTCTCAGAAAGGTATTCAGAAAGGGGAAGCCACACCTTGCTTCTTTCCTCAGGCTCATGTATTCGACCTGCTTATAATTGTGTTTCCTCTGCCGCCACCTTGTGGGGTTTTGACTATCAATATTAACTGTGTCAGAACTGGTTTGGCTGGTATCAAGGAAGTAAAATTGTTACTACAAACAATACAGAATTTTTAACAGATAAAAGAAAAGGTAGGTAATCTATATTTCCCAATGGGAATATAAAACCGTGTTTATAATTTAGTATAGACTTATTTTATAAAACCAGAGAATAACATAAAGGGGGCTAATGGATCTTCTAGAAGGGAATATACCCATTTTCCAAAGGAGGAGCAAAGATTCACAGAAGTTTTATTCCATTGCCTAATGTCACAGAGCCAGCAGATGAACTTGGAGTCAATTATAAAGCTCTAAACTTTATTGCACCATTCCTTTAGGAGTTAGCGTAGACAATGACTAAAACCCAACTGTTTTAACATGTACATTTTCTTATTGTTCCAGTAGGGTAAGGCTAACAGATCAGAGATGATTGCCATTGGAAAAACAGTTTGTTACAATTTCCAAGAGGAGGGGACACACCACCCCATGCAGGACCACATCGAGAAATGTCAACGTCAGTCAGGAGGCAGAAGGAACAAGGAAAGCATGGGTAGAAACCTTTATTGTGGTTTCTGTGGGAAAAGCAATGAGAGGCAGGGTAAGCAGGGTTAGAATGATGAGTTTGAATAATTTTAGAGGGTTCTGGGGCATGGAGGCCCTGGGAAGATTAGTGCAGAGGAATACTGTCTTTTGGGGTGTAAGAGCCACAGAAAGGAGGTAGTTTATGGTAGGGGCTGTGGATTGTCTGGTTTAAATATGACCATTGAGTCATTTGCTATCTCTAAGAATTGGGTGTCTCTACGAGGGCCAGTCTCTCCCCAGGCAGAAAGGTCCCAGATGCCTGAGAGTCAAGAATAGAGGAAATAAGAAAATATAGTACATACACCAATTAACATATTCTCTTGAACTCAGAATTCGTGTGTGAATACATGAAATCAGTAGTAATAAAGAGGAATTATCCTAACTCTGACATTGGTATTATTATCCACATGATGTGGTTAGCTGATAGTTTTGTATATAAATGTTACCAAATATCAATCGGGAGGAAATATCAAAATTGATCTAAATATTGGCTGTTCTTTTCATTATTTAAAATTATGATAGGGTCACAAACTTGAGGATAAATGTTTTTCTGCAAGGTTGAGATTATAATTAGTTTTTCCAAGTTTGTACTGAAAACGATCTATTTTAGGCACATGCTTTTCCAGCAGAAATTAGTTTTGTTTCCTTCTAAACAGTTTTCACTTTGTGTGCATATTTATTTAAAATAATGTGCAGAAAGGTTTTTATATCAGAATTTGAAATTAAAGAACCATTTAATCTTTTTTACCCATCTACTTAGATATTCGCTCTCTATGTCCCCACTCAGTGCTTTGGTAACTTCTTTTTATTCAATTATGCATTCTGATATCACTAACTACCATTTTCAACAAGTTATGAGCAAACCATTTTGTAAGGCTTCTGTTGCTAGGTTACATTCTCCTTTACTGGAATCATGATGGCTGAATAAAAACCTAGGTTCATGTTCTCTCTCTCCCTCTTTCTCTCTCTCTATTTTCTATCTCCATCTCTTCCTCCCCCTCCCTCCTTCCTTCCCCCCACCTTCTATATAGCCTATTTGTTTAATCATCCTTTTGGATTTAGTTCACCATTCAATATAATTACTCTAGAAATATTTATTGTATGCAATTTCCCTGGATTTTTGCCTTACCTTACAGAAAAATTAAATGGATTAAGTTTGTAATTGAAAAGTTGTCAAATTCTGGCAGGATTGTAAGTGTAAGTTGTGGAATTTCTTTTTCTTCAATGTGCGTATTTCCCATTTGTCCCTGGAGACCCACACTCTACCCTCTCTTTTGCACTGTGCCCTGGGATGCTGACCTTTATGGACTGTGTCCATGAACTCTCTTTCCCTCTGGCTTCTGATTGAGATCAGCTAGTAGAAGCACTGACAGGTGATCAGAGGCAGGGAAAAGAGTGAGGTTGTAGTATTTGTTTCCTCAGCTCCCTTCTGTGCCGTTCATCATGTATCCTTCTACTAAAGGTCATGTGTCAGGTTGCTCTCTCCGTATAGCTACTCTCTTTAGGTTTCAACACTGCTTCTTTGCCCTGCCCTCTCATCCTAAGGGCAGTAATGGTTTCTCACTGTAGTTTGCACTGCAATGCTTCATCAACCCTTTTCAGTGCCTCTTAACTGTATTAACACCTTTGTACATGGTGACTTTATTGCAGTTTCTCAATTACTATGCTTGAGTGTGCCATCTGCTGTTTTTTGATGGATATGGCAGCAACTGAGGTTTTTGGCTAAAGGCAGGAGAGGAGATCAAATGTCCAAGGTAAGTTAAATGAAGCAGATCTTGGATGGGGCATTAAGCTGGGCTCCTTATACCTACCCAGGTTGCTCCTGACACCATGACTGATCATGAGTCCTCATTAATATAATATCATCATCCCAAACCTGAGGGACTAGACAAAGAGAGCACCAGTTTGTATTTCTTTTTATTTAGTTCAGTTTTAAATTTGGGATAACTCAAGCACTAAAGTACTACATAGCTTAATTCTTGGTTTAAACAACTTAAAAAGCTCTAAGCCTGGGAGTTCATTCATATATTCATTCATTCATTCAAAACTATAGGAGCACTGTGGGTTGTCATTTTCCAAACATGAATAAATCAGATCATGTTTTGTTTTAAAAATATTTTGCAACTGTTTTGATCTGTGTCTACCTCCAACAATTCAACTTAATTACATCTTAGCTTCCTCTTAAAATATAATTGGTGCTACTAATTTCACAAGATTTGGGGAAAATCAAATATGATAATGTACAAAATGGCTATGAAAAACATCATCTACTATATAAATAAATAGGTTGTAATTTTTAAAATTTCTATTATGGAGTCTTATTCCTACCAATAGTTTTACATTGATGAGGGAGAGGGGCAATCTTATCTTCACACATATGCAAAACACCTAAACATTAGTGTAGAAATGGGATGATCTCAGCTTTTAGACAGTCTGTAATCTGTTTAAGGCTTTTTATGTTTTTGATCAAAGTATTTTTGTTTTGTTAACAGGACTACTCTTAATTCTCATTGTATGTGAGCAAGTTACTAACCAGGGATAAGCACCAGCTAAAATAAATATTCAGTCAACATTATTTCATTTATATTTTTCTAGAAAGTCAATTTTGTAAGTGTATGATCCCATGTTATTAATAGTCTAATTGACATTCACAAGCATGAAACCTGGATTTAACATGTAAGATGGGTATTTCTCCAACATTTCCTGAGTAATAGATTATTTTATCAAGGCTATTTATTGCAGCTTTTTTATTTTTTATTTATTTATTTTTTTAAAGCAGGCTCCACGCCAAATGTGGATCCCAATGCGGGGCTTGAATTCATGGCCGAGATCAATACCTGTGCTGAGATCAAGGGTTGGATGTTCAATTGACTGAGCCACTCATCCACCTACGTATTGCAGCTTTTTTTTTTTTTTGAGCATTTTTTTTGGACATATATTGCAGTCAACATTTTCGATATAGTTTTAGAATTTCTTAAGAAGTTTGCATTGAATCCAAATTGTTTAAGAGTTCTTAATGATCCAAGTGAGGAAGTATATATTCAGAAACTACTATTCTTCACCTCTCTGAAGAGCCCTGTTGACACTTTTCATGTATGCATTACTCTTTTTTTAAGTTGCTTTTGAGTGTGTACTTCTGCCAAAAGAGTGCTTAGTATTATGGAAAATAGAAACAGAAAAGCTGTGTGGCTGAAAGCTTAGCTAAATAAGGGCAGTTTGTCAAGTGGCTGGTCTCAGTAACAAAAGACAAATAATATTTACTTCTGCCTTATTTGTGAAGCTTTGTCTCTGTCCTCACTAGTAGGCATTAACCCTTAGGCACTTGCAGTGATTTTAGACTTATAATAAAATTACTACTGGATAGCTTCATTTTATACTGTCACATTTTTATGCCTTGTACAAATAATACATACAAAGCCTTTTTTATTCCACAAAATGCGTTATTCCATAAATACAATAAATTTCCTGAGAAAGTATGATAATTATTGCATGTATATCAATTAAAACCATGGCATGAAATCTATATGAATACATTTTAGCATAAAATAGATAAACAAATACTAGGGCAGATCTAAGGTGATGACACAACAATGGACATTATGACTAAGTATCCCCTCTTCCTCACCTTACAGATTTGGTGTGCTATAGACTAAACTGTGTCCCCCTAAAATTTATTTGTTGAAGCCATCACCCCCTCCACCCCCGTGTGATTTGGAGATGGGAATCCTTGGAAGGTAATTAGGTTTAAATGAGGTTAGGAAGGTATAACCCTCATGACGGGATTAATGCCCTTATACGAAGAGAGAACAGAGAACTTACTTCTTCTGTCTTTTTCCACCCACATACTCAGAAGAGAAAGCAAGAATGAGGAAGACCATGTGTGGATACAGCAAGAAGGCAGCCATCTGCAAGGAGAGAGTTCTGATCAGACACTGCCCCTGCCTGCGCCTTGATTTTAGACCTTCAGTCTCCAGAACTGTGAGAAATAAACTCCTGTTGTTTAGGCCAGCGAGTCTATGGTGTTTTGTTATGGCAGCATGAGCTGAGACATTGTGTGTGTGTGTGTGTGTGTGTGTGTGTGTGTGTGTGTGTAGTTTCTCAAGCTACATGGATTTAAAATTTGCCAGAATCATTTTGCATATATCATAAGCTATATCTTTTATCCACTAGGTCATAAAACTATTTCTATTATTAATTTTTAGGAAAATGATGTAAGGAGTATTAATTTCTTGGGGCCCTCTTATTTCATTACCAGCATTAGCAATTAATTTTCATTTCAAGGCTGTTTTGGAGGAATACCTTCTACTTCCCACTAAGTTCTTCCCTACCTGTCAACAGTTGCTGCATATGTAACAAGTGGAGAATAGCATGGCTCAGTAAGATACAGATGCTGGGTAGTTGGTAGGCACCATCATTAGCTAAGCTGCTCACTCCATCCAGCCTCTTAGATCAACAGCCTACCTGACACTATCACTTAGTTTCATAGACATCCCAAGTCTCACATGCACCATATTGATTTTTATTTGGCCAGCCCAAACACCTCTTCCTTGGTGTTTACCATTGGCAAAGATAAACAAAGCAGGACTCTAGTTAAAGTGTTAAGGATGATTTTAAACCATAGTATACTATTTGTACTACTAATAACAGGGAAATAATTATAGTAACAATAATAGGGAAAAAGGTCCAGTGCGGAAGGATTTCAGCTTTGATTTGTATAGAAGTGACAGGGTACTTAAAAGGGAGAGGGAGAGAATAGGAAAGGAGTAAGTGGGGGCTCTATAGTGTCAGGAAAATGAAAATTTACAAAAAGCATGAAGAGGGTTTAGTGGATGTGAAACACATCTGGGTTTGTCTACTGGCACTTCTCCATGCTCACAGAGACTAGGAGAGTAGGCCCTATCTTCAGATGTTGGCTGGAACAAACAGTCAATTCTTTTGGCAGCCTTGAGTTCTCTCAGGTAAGTACTTTAAAGGGAGCTACAGTCATCCTAGGGATGCAACCTGGAGCTGTCAAACTATGTTAGTGTTTGTTCAGTTCTTTATAGGCCAGGATTAAGGCTTAGTCAAGAAGAGAGCTCAGAAGGACCTGGGTACAGTTTGGTCAAGGAGAGAGTTATTTGTCACCATGTCATTAAAGGGCAAATCTAGAAGCACCTGGGTGGCTCAGTCGGTTAAGCGTCTGACTTCAGCTCAGGTCACGATTGATCTCATAGTCTGTAGGTTCGAGCCCTGTGTTGGACTCTGTGCTGACAGCTCAGACCCTGGAGCCTGCTTCAGATTGTGTCTCCCTCTCTCTGCCCCTCCCCTGCTCACACTCTGTCTCTCTCTTTCTCAAAAATAAATAAACATTAAAAAAAAATAATAAAGGGCAAATCTTAAATATCAGTAAAGTCCTGAGGGTTCTACCTTAAAAATACAAAATAATTTCACCGCATCTCACCATCTCTAATGCTAACTCTGATAAACTCCACCATCTCCAAATTACCAACAGATTGCTATCAGATCTCCTTGCTTTTATGCTAACCCCATGCAGTCTACTGTCAACACAGCCGAAAGAGTGATCTTTTACAAATTAAATCATGTTATGTCCTGCTAAGGCTCCAAACCCTCAGTGGGTTCTGAATCTCACTCAGAGTATACAATCTTCACAGTGCACACTAAAGGCTCAGGGTGACCTGCCCCAGTGTCCCTACCCTGTAACCATTCTTAGGCTTTCTCTCTGGCTCCATCCACACCAGACTCACTGGCCTCCCTGCTGTTCTCTAAATAGGTCAGGAGGCTTCTGCCTGAGAACTGTAGCCCTGGTGGAACTGTAATTCTGGTGGAACATGCTTCCTCCAGGTAACTACATGTCTAACTTACTCATGTTGAGTCTTGGTTCAAACCTCACTTTCTTAAGGAGGCTACCTTGAGCAGCCTGCTCTGTCACCTTCCTCCCCCCACCCCTGCTTTTGTTTTCCTTGGGTTCCATACTATCTATCATCTCCTAACATACCATAGACTTGATTTATTGCCTTCACTTACTGTTTGTTCTCTCTGCTAGAATATAACGTCCAGTAGCGCAAACATTCCTCCAACCTTGGTGTATTTTTTTCTTATCTAAATTAGTGCTACATTAAAGAGGCTCCATAGGTTTTTGAATAAATGAACCAGCCTAAGTGAAATTTCTTAATGGTATAAAATAAGCTCCTGTAATATTGTTTTTCATGAGCTGGTATGTCTTGTTATAATATTTAACACATATAACTAATTTCTATGAGAGAGCCTCTGGCTCTGGGACTGAAGTTTGCTGAGGAGCATTAAGATTTTATGCTTGACGCTTATGTCCTTGTCTCTCCCATGCCCACTCCCTATAACCCCACCCTCCTGTATAGAGGGAAAGAAAAATGAGGTAGCAACAGATAGGAAAGGAAAACATTGTTAGTTCAGTGTTCATATTATACTGGTTCATTGAATATCCTGGTTTATGGTAAGACTACAGGTCAAGAAGATTAGGAAGAAATACCATAAGTAGACATATCGTGAAAGCTTAATATTCACCAGCAAACTTGTAACTTGTATAAGAGAAGTAATTTGATTGGCTAATCTTAGTCAAAACAATGAATTTTCTTGTCTATTTGTCTAGTTATTGGTGTACTGTTTTTCTACTCTTTAAAACATATTCTCCTATGTGTAAATCATTTTTACTATATTTTTACTATATTTTAAAATGATATGATTGAGAGTGGGCAGGGAAGGGAAGATGCATTGTTAAAGAGACTACATTCTGCAGACAAGGTGGCCTGGGTTCTAATTTCAGCTTTGCTACCAACTATGCAACTGTGGGTAAGTGATATCCAGTTTCCCACCTTACTTTTCACATTTGTGAAATGGAGGTAATAAAATGTACCTCATGGAGTTGTTTTGAGGAACAGTTCCTCACAGCACGCAGTGCCTGTTACACAGTATTCACTCTGTAAGTAGCTATTTTTATAGAATAATGGAGTGTTTTCTGAAATGAAAATGTATAATTTAAAATTGTTTTTTTACATTTTTTACAAAATGTAACATTCTACATTTTATTTTACAAAACACATTGTGTTTTTTTACATTTTCATAAAACAATACTGGTCATACAATACTAACTGAATCATGGAGGTGAATTTTCATTAGTATTACTTAAAAAAAAAAACAACCTCTTGGTGGGGTCATTTGAATTTTTAAATTCCTATACTAGAAAATTTATAAATTGAGATATGAGGTTTAGAAAGAGATAAAGTAATTTTCCCTTTACCTTTCTGAGTTCTTGGCTAAGATCTTTGTAATAAAAGACAGATTAACAAGAGAATAAACCCAGATGTTTAATAGCATGTATCCCATGTGTACATGGGAGATACCTAGGGAAAAATTAGTAACTTTCAGAGGTGGCTCAAACTTAGATACTATTTTCAGCTAAAGAGAAAAAGAAGAAAGTTGAGGGGGAGATGAATTGTGGGGAGATTAAGCAGAAAAGCAGTGTAATCAAGTGTGAGGTTTGTTATGCAGATTTATGTCTGCATCTTCTCCATTCATAGGATCTAAAGCTGTCTCAGGAATAATCATTGTCCTTCCTGGTAGAGAGGGTGGAAGGACACGTTTGTAAATTTATGTCAGGCTTTTAGGCAAATGCAGGGAGAGCAGAGAGCTTTTCTTTTATCTGTGTCTTCTCAATTGCTTTCAATTCTAAGTGATCCTTATGCCAAAGCGGCTTTTAGAATGGCATCTTCTGCTACCCTTCACTAGCAACTTCCCTAGGTAGCTTTTTAGCTCCACTGCCAAAAATTGTGAAGGATTTGACATTTTATCTCACTTGTAAGCCAAAAAGTAGCCTGTCACAGTTTCATAGAAGTTGACAGATGCATGAGATTCTTCTGTCAGAGAAAAAGGATTTTATTACTCATAGCACAACAGACAGTGTGAGCTTCAGGTTCTCATAGATTCCTGTTGCTCCCCAGTCCCTCAGTGTGAGCTGGAGTTGCTAGGCAGGCGCTGTGCAAGCAGTTAGTTTGTATCAGAATGGAGGAACTCCAAGTTTAGGAATTTCTTGCTAGCAAATTTACCCAAAATTTGCCCTTGGATGGAGAGATTATCTTTGTTAGCCTGCAACAAACTTCTCTGCCCTTGAGGGAAATACTATCCCTATCTTTGAAACTAGATTTGTAGCAATGCAAGAGAGCTATGGAGACTTGATCCCTGATATACACAAATGCAATACAAATGTAGTCTATGATGATGAAAAAAATGCACAAAAATTCTGACCAGAGATTTAGACTATCATTGTAAATGTAAAACACCCAATCCTGTCTGAGCATTTCTTTGAGTATGTTGTTAATCATTTAGAGCCAAACCTTATCATTGATTTTTTTTTTTTTGCTTTGTAATTCATTATTACTTGATGCTTTAACAGTCATGTTTTTCCCCTTAGTAAGTAGGTTTTATCTTCTCTCTATATTTATTTATGCCAGTAATTTAACCTTATTGCCTTAAGTATTCCTTATTGCGTTAGAGGAACTAAACACATTTTCTCAAGTGGCCTGTACGTTAGCAATCTTCCTTTCTCTTTGCCTCTTCCTGATAAAATTAAATTTCACAAGGTACAATATGTTTCTTCTCTGTTGTGTAGCCGGACAATTGCTACTCAGCTTTGCAAGGTTGTTTTCCTGTGCTAATACTTACCTAAAACTTCCCCCCACCCCCACATTCTTATAATGTTAAGATACATTTTCGCGTTGTCATATTCTTCAGAGGTAATTATCATCCTGGTCTTTTTCTTTGTTTTTAAGCTAAAGTTACAGCTGTTCTGTTCTTCCGTGTGTGTGTATATGTGTACTTTTTTAAAGCCAGAGCTACAAAATTCATTTGAGTTCCAGAGAAAAGCAGATCAAGTACTGTTACTTAATACATTAAAGTAACTGTTTTTTCTCCTTGTGATATAAACCAAGCTGTTGCCCTAGGTGCATATAATTAGGGACCACATTGGAAGAGTTTGCCTAAAGGTGGAGTCATTGGTAGGGTTCCCAGAAAATATACAGACCACCCTGTGTATTAACATATAAACAACGAATTATGTTTCAGTATAAGCGTATATTTCGTGTGATATTTGGGACCTATGTACATTTTAAAAAATCATTGTTTATTTGAAAATAAAATTTAACTGGACATCCTGTTTTTTTTAAAATTTTTAAAATGTTTTATTTATTTCTGCGAGAGAGAGAGAGAGAGAGAGAGACAGCATGAGCAGGGGAGGGTCTGAGAGGGAGGGAAGTACAGAATCTGAAACAGGCTCCAGGCTCTGAGCTGTCAGCACAGAGCCCAACGCGGGGCTCGGGGCTCGAACCCACAAGTGAGATCATGACCTGAGCCGAAGTTGGACGCTTAACCAAGTGAGCCATCCAGGCGCCCCCCCCTTTTTTTTTTTAAATTTTTAATGTTTTATTTATTTCTGAGAGAGAGACAGACAACATGAGCGGGGGAGACTAAACATCATGTGTTTTTATTTGCTAAATCTGGCGACTCTAATCGCCTTTTCTCTGTCAAACAAATTACAAATAATCTTTTGGTAAAATTTCGCATAAAGTGGGTTTTAGCTCAGAAACACTCCCCTTGGGGCAGCGATGAAGGTTTCAAAGTTTTGATGATACGACGTCAACACTACGCATAAATAAATGTGAGTAACTGAACGTTTTTAAATTCACAAATGTATATTTGGAAGCCCAGCTCAAAAGAATAGAGGAGTAGGTTAAAAAAAGCCATGGACTGGCGGATTTAGGAGTCTTCAGAAAAAAATAAACTTCAACCTGGACGGCCTTGCCAAAAGGAGTGTAAGTTACCGGAGCAAAGCAGTCTCTGCAGTTTGGTAAGGAGAGAGCGCGAGACCTGAGAGAGCCAATAAGAGCTGAGCAAAAGGGGGGCTGGGTGCGTGAAGCCAATCAGAGATGAGATGGGTGGGACTAGATGCCTTAAAGGCGGGAGTTTTGGTAGAATGGGCTCCGAAGGGCCGGGATCAGCCAATCGGAACAGAGCAGGGCGGGGTTCCGAGAAGGGGCGGTCGCAGGGAAGTAAACCCTAAGGCTCGCGCGTCTTTCTGCCTCACCTGCATCTGCGTCTGCCCTGCACCTGCACCCGTCCCTCCCCCTTTCTACCAGTTGGACGGACGCCGACTCGAAGGGTGACAGGGGACGCTTATTCAGCTCGTCATGGCCTACCCGGGATACGGAGGAGCGGTGAGTCCTGGCGGATTCTCAGCAGCCTCCGCCCCCGCGGGGTGGAGCGCCCCTGCGGGCGGTGCCAGCCTGCGGGGTCCGCCTTCTGTTTCCTTCGCGTGGCTGGTCTCCCGTACTCAGTGGGGCTGAGACTGCTCCTTGCTGGAAGTCGGGGTCTGGGCGGAGCGGGGAGCCGCAGGTTTTCTGGGCCCTGGGGCGGGGCACCTGTGGTGCTCCTTGTGAAGCCGGGGATGTGCGGTGCTTTAAGAAATTTCCTTCTTGGTTTGGAGGAACACATGCGCCCTTTTCTTATTCCAGCAATATTTTGTGGTCGACCCGTTTTGCGACACATCCTCTTTCCGAATTTTTGACCACTTCTTGTTTTCTGCCCTTCTAAGTTGCTTATGCGTAAATAAAGTATGTTAAAAGTCTTCTAATTTTTACTTTCTACCAGGAGCAATCTGTTCTACATTTTTGGGGGGAGGTGGTCAATGTTAGGGTACTCTTTTTTACATTAACTGTTTATCCTATAGCACCTTTGAGAGTTGGAAGTTGTAATTTGTGGTATATGCTTTTTTTAATACCTAAATTTGGGCTGTCTTTTATCGGTCTCTTATTTTCAAGGAAAAACCTTTAAAAAAATTCATCTATTTTTGTTTGTTTTTAATCCATTATATTCTTTCAACATTTACTGTTTCCTTATACTTAATTGCTTCATGATCCAGTCATACATTTCCTGGAGTTTGAAGTGTATTTTCTGAGCTCCAGTACTTCCTCCATACCTTTCCCCTTTACACATCCAGTGATCTAGCTTTTCAAAACTACTGGTAGTGCCCCACCTTTTGTGTACCCTCCCCGCCCCCCCCCCCCCAACTTAGAATTCTTTTTTTCTTTTTGCCTTCTGACAGTCTCTATTCATCCTTCAAAGATGCAGGTCAAGATTTTTGTCCAAAATGGAATAACGACCAATGTTGATACTTCTTTCTCCTCCAGACTCATACAAATGCTCAGTAAAATGCCCTTCTAAGTTACTAAAAAAGTATACCAAGTTCCAAAGTGAAAAAAGTAGAGAGAAACCATACCATAGCAGGAAACAAACATCAGACTGTCTACATTTGAACCGTGGTCTCCTTTTTACCAGTTATTTGACCTCAACCAATTTAGGAAACCTCTTGAAATTTTGGGTCCTCAACTGCAGAGAGGACGTAGTCATTTCATACTTCATAAAGTTTTTGGAAAATCAAATGATATAATGGAAAGTATTTAGTACCTGGGCTATGAAAAGCTGTCAGTAAATACTAGCTGTGCATTACTTTTGTTGGTATTCTTACTGCTTTTCTTATTGGTTTTGAAGACTGTTGTTGGAACTATCACTTTGTGTATTGGTGTCTTTTTAAAAATTTTTTTAAGTTTATTTACTTATTACAAAGACAGCATGAGTGAGAGAGGGGCAGAGAGAGAGGGAGACACAGAATCTGAAGGCTCTGAGCTGTCAGCACAGAGCCTGATGCAAGGCTTGAACTCACAAACCATGAGATCATGACCTGAGCCAAAGTCGGACACTTCACCAACAGAGCAACCCAAGTGTCCCATTGATGTTTTTTTTTAAAAAAATAAGTATTTTCTGGTGAAGAGGATGTTTGCACCTTATGCAGTTTCCCATGACTAGTTCACAATTTTGTTACATTTACCATGTATTCTAAGTATGTGTCCGAGGTATACTACTTCTTAGTTTGACTGTAGGTGAAATTTCCTTCTATTTCTTTGCTTTTTGTTTATTTCAGTGATGTTGATGGTAAACACTGAAAAATTGTGCTTCATGTTCATCTGAAGGTCTTACAGCCTAGATAGTTCTTCTTTCTTTTACACTTATGTGATACTGGATAACATGTTAGTGAACTGAATTATGTCCTAATGCAGGACATCTAGGATTTTGTAGCTAACAGCTTTTGTGATAGTGGATTTGGTTGCTTTTTAGTAACTCTTTGTATCCTTGCTTTTCAGTAGACTCAAATATTTTCTTTTAAACCAACTTCAGGGGATAGCAGATAGTGTTTGTATTTATAATCGTAACCTCTTTCATTCTTGCAGTTTGGAAATTTTAGCGGTCAGATGCCAGGAATACAGATGCAAATGGGACAACCAATGCCAGGAACAGGGCCAAACCTGTACCCTAGTGAGTACCCAGCATATGCTGACAGTTACTCCTCAGCAGGAGACCCCATGTGGACATCCTTCACTGCTATTGCTGGACAGGTGAGATGCTAAATATATTGCACAGATATCAGGGTTTTTTTGTTTTTGTTTTTTAATTTTTTAAATGTTTATTTATTTTTGAGAGGAGGGAGGGAGGGAGGGGCAAAGTGAGAGGGAGGCACAGAATTCAAGGCCAGACTCCAGACTCTGAGCTGTCAGCACAGAGCCCAATGCAGCACTTGAACCCATGACCCGTGAGATCATGACCTGAGCTGAAGTCAGATGCTCGATCAGCTGAGCCACTCAGGTGCCCCACAAATATCATTTTTAAAAAGTGATTGCTCTTTAAAAGAAATGTCACCCCTTACTTAGTGTGTCATTTTAAATGTATATGAAATTTGTGTTTAAACTTACCCAGACTAATTTTTTCTCTTGAGATCAGAGATAAGGGTAATCATAATTATTCCATTTTTTAAAAAAAATGTTAGTATGATACCTGACACATGGTTGATTTCACTAAAAGAGGAAGCAGTGTGGTACGTGGTGACTGAGCCAAAGAGGATTGGGGGAAAGAGGTCTACATGTCAATCTCCTTGAGGAAACTGGGGCAGAGTGTCAAAAAGGAGACTTTTAAATTGTGAATAGTTTAGGAGAGACTTAAAGATAAAGCACATTGGGAAAGTGTAAAGAAAACAGGGCAGAAAGGAGGTTCAAATACCAGACTAATGAGAAGAGACAGGTTCACACTGGAGCCTTAGTCACACACACTCCGTATCTCTTCTTTTATACTTATCCATGAAAACTTAGTGAGTAGTTAGAATTTCACAGAACTCTGATAACACTTTTCATTTATTACTCATTCGCTTGAGTGCTCACTATGCTTGGCTGGAAATAGAGGACATACACAGAATTATTGTATGTGGCAGACACATTTTTTTGTGACCCCAGTTCCATTCACAACCTCTTTTTCCCTTCTCTGGTAGTAGTTGGAAAAGCCCTAATGCCATCCCGGACACCTTTGTAATTAGTAAAGGTAGCCACGGGCCAGAGAACTGGCCCTTGAGATTAGGTGTAATTTCTTGAGGACACTTTTCCATTTCTAAGTGAGAAAATCCCTCCTGGGAATGAGTGTTGGCTGTTCTTGCTCCTTAATTCTTCCTGCCCAGAAAGGGAACTTGAAGTAGGGAAGTGCAGCAGTCATCTTTGGTACCTTGGGTCTACAAGCTTCAGTTTAAGGCCTTTGGATGGGATGTGTGGGGAAAATGTAAAGAGATTGATGGCATTGTAAAACTGCCATACAGCCCTGTTCTGCGTAGCCTCAGACTTCTGGTGTAAAACAATAAACTCTTACTGGTTTAAATTTCTTTGGTAGTATTTTCCATTGTTCTCAGCTAACTGTAATGCTGTTACATTATACCATTCCAATCTGAAAAGAACTCTTAAGTAGTGTAATGGCTGAGAATAAGTCTGTTATCTATAACTGACTATATATTAAACCTATTTTATAAAATTATAACTTAAAACATAGGACTGGGCATATGTATTTAAAGACTTTTATTTGACCTCTGAACTCTTTCAGTGGTAAAATTGTCAACAATAATTTGCTATGTTTGTACTGTTATTGGTTTCTCTCTATTCAGAAAGGTTAACAAAGATTAAAAATGATTTTTATGCTCCTTAACCCAAATTAATAATGACTTTTTCTGTGTCTTTTGAACCTCTGCTTCGTCTGTATTCTTTGTTCTTTCCCTACAAAAGAATTTCCATACTCTTCAACGTGTCTTCTGTATTTCTGAATATACAGAATTCAAAGAAAGGTGTTCTGCACCTTAGTTGAACTTTTCTATTAAATGTTATAGAAGCTCATAGTTAAACAGAAATTTTCATCAGACCACAGAGGACTAATTTCCTTCATTGTAATTGGAATGGTCAAGGTTTTTAGTGAATGCAAATTTCTCTTTTCTAGAAAGTTTTAAAGTTTGAGCCTGTTGTTTACACAATGCACTATTTTTTTGTAAATGAGAAAAAAATTGATGAAGCTTAATAATTCTCATTAATTTTAGTCTCAGGTAGAGTATCATTTTTCTATTTAAGAAAAGTTAAAGATAAAGGTAATTTATAACCATGTTATCTTAAGTGTACTAGAAGATAGAAGACATTTTTAAATAAAAAATGAGAGAAAAACCATTTCCTACCTTTTCTTATGTTTTAATAATTTGTAAAAGATTGTCTTTTAAAATTTACTGTGCAGTATTGACAATGACCTTGTCTGTGCCATTATTTCATGGAGAGAGAGACTATTGACAGTGGCAGCAGTAGACTTTATTGACTGTTTTTGTTTGTTTGTTTGTTTGATGGTGTTTACTAATTTCTTCTTGGATCATGTTAGAAGTGTATGCATAGTTTTTCAAAGTCTTGAAATATAATAACGATTCGATGTAATAGGGAGGCAGGTAATTGTCTAAATAAAAATTCCTTCTAAGGTCTTTATCTTTGGAGGATAGCAAGAATCAAACCTTGCTTTGATTCTAAACAAATAGCAATTTTTAAAAGTATATTTCACTTACTGCAGACTTTAAAATTTTATAAGCAAAATCTCAAAACTATGCATGGCAGAGAAAGGAACACTTAGATACTCTTTTGTAGGTACATGGATGATCCATTGGAAAGAATACTTTTTATTACCTTTTAATTCCTGTTAGAACTACTGGAATTTTTTCTTTTACCGAAATTTTTGTTATAAGGAATCTCCTGCTAGAGATCCATGAGGATATGAGTGTTTATAATACTTCTTGGAAGTAGTTTGTAAAAATTTTCATTTCTTGGGTCTCTTACAAAAACGAACTCTTACAAAGTTTGTGTTTTAAATTTGCTGCCCTGATCCTTTCTCAGAGCTAATAGTTTGCATTATCCCTTAGAAAGGATCGCCCCACCTCCTTTGAAAGGGGCATCAGGGGAATGTGTCTGAGACTGTTCTGAACACATTTTGATCGTTTTTCTGTTTTAGGTAGAGGTACAATGACTCTCACGAGATATTAATTTGACCTATTATAGGTCACAGTGATTATGTTGTTTCTCAGAAGTAGAGAAAATACATTGTATTAGAAATGCTTAAAAATTAATAGAATATAATTTATGAAACATTTATTTTGCATGCTCTTCTGTAATATGTCTTTGTTGTCAATACTTATCTCTATTAATTTTGTAGTTGATGATAATGTTTTAAATAATTCATGTATGGGGGGTCGGTGCCTGGGTGGCTCAGTCGGTTAAGCGTCCAACTTCGGCTCAGGTCATGATCACACAGTTGGTGGGTTTGAGCCTTGCGTTGGGCTCTATGCTGACAGTTAGCCCAGAGCCTGGAGCCTGCTTCTGATTCTGTGTTTTCTTCTCTCTCTGACCCTCCCCTGCTCACACTGTCTCTCTCTCTCTCTCAGAAATAAATAAAACATTAAAAAAAATTCTTTTAAAGAATGCATGTCTGTTGATTTGGCCTAGAATAGCCAATCGGTACTTTAATATGATTTATACAGCTGTGCATTAAATCAGGTTATAATTATTTTTTAACAGGATGGTGAAGTGGATGCTGAGGAACTTCAGAAATGTTTGACACAGTCTGGAATTAGTGGAACTTATTCTCGTGAGATCTCCCCCACCCCCATGTTTAAAATATTTTTAAAAAACCTTCTTATCACAGATGTACATGTCCATAATTTTAAGAGTCAAATAGTTTTGCAAAGATTACTATGAAGATAACTTAACTGTTTCTTGTGTGCCATGTGTGTATGCCTCCCTGATGTTAATCACTCCTAGAGGAAATTTCATTCAACTTTTTCTTTTTACAAAATTTTTTTTGTTTATTTATTTTTGAGACAGAGAGAAGAGAACACGAGCTGGGCAGGGGCAGAGAGAGAGGGAGACACAGAATCTGAAACAGGCTTCAGGCTCTGAACTGTCAGCACAGAACCTGATGTGGGGCTCGAACTCATGAACCATAAGATCATGACCTGAGCCAAAGTCGGATGCTTAACTCACTGAGCCACTCAAGCACCCCTCATTCAACTTCTTCAACTGACTCTTGAAATTTGCCTCCAGATCTCAAAATAACATACTTTTATCACTACAGATTTTCAGGGTTTTTTTTTGAAGTTTGTTTATTTGTTTTGAGAGAGAGAGAGAGAGAGAAAGCAAGAGCAGGGGTGGGAGAGAGAGATGAAGAGAGAAAATCCCAAGAAGGCTCCATGCTGTCTGTGCAGAGTCTGATGTGGGGCTCTGTCTCACCAACCATGAGACCATTACCTGAGCTGAAATCAAGAGTCAGACACAACCAACTGAGCCATCCAAGTGCCCCCTTCTATGAGTCTTAATTTCTAAGTTCTAAGAGCTTCTCTTCTTTTTTCATGTATATGAAGTCTTCCCATATTTCTCTGAAACTGTTCATTTATTTTTCAAAGCTCTTTTCTTCTTTTGTAAACTGTGTTTTCTCTAGATTTTTTTTTTTTCCATTTAATGTGTTTGGTTGTCTTTTATGTTAGATGCTTTTCTCTGATCTGCTGATCCTTGGTTGTACATGTTTAACTAAAATGCAGGTGAGGGGCACCTGGGTGGCTCAGTCAGTTAAGCGTCCGACTTTGACTCAGGTCATGATCTCACGGTTCGTGGGTTCCAGCCCCACATTGGGCTCTGTGTTGACAGCTAGCTCAGAGCCTGGAGCCTGTCTTCGGATTTTGTATCTCTCTCTCTCTCTCTGACCCTCCCCTGCTCATGCGGTTTCTCTCTCTCTCATAAATAAATGAGAAACAACAACAAAAAAATTAATGCAGGTGAGAAGCCCCAAGGTGATGGTTTGGTATTGACCATAGACTTTGATGTCTGATGGTCTGGTGGGGTAGTTTGTCATGTAACACTGAGTATCAGTGTATTTAGGGATTTCCTTTTGGGCTGATTGTTTGGTAGGAAAGGAGAACAGAGGGCCCAGCAGTGTTCTCAGTCTTTGATAAACAGTCATTTAAATACCTTATTTTTACTAGATAAGTTAGAGTTAGGGTTTATGGATAGGGTTAGGATATGTGCCTAGTACCCTGCAGTTCAGAGACCTCTCCAGAGAATAAAACTCCAGATTTCCATTGGGGTGAGAATCAACATGGCAGCCATCTACTGCGCTGAGTCAAGAAGGGGATTTGGGCTCTAAATACTCCTTAAGTAGGTGTTCAGTTGATCCTTCTGCTTTTGTCTCTACCTTCACACCCATTTTCAGAAATACTAGCAATTCTTAAATGTTTGGGGTCTTTTCCAGGTAACTAGGCTGCTTCTCAGCTTTCCTGTGTGTTTATTATTATTATGTACTGACATCATATTTCTTTTATCAAGACTGATATAATGAGTCTTGAGGTAAATCAGCATACTAATTCAATATAATTGTGATAAGGATCAGAAAAATTCTAACTAGTGAGTCTTCATTTATAGTTCTATAAATATGAAAGTGTTAATACCTCTAATAACCCATGATATTAAGATAGTTTATTTTTCTTCCTGCCTTTTCCCTTGCCCAAGGGAAAACAGCTGCTTCAAATCAGAAGCTATTTTTACTTGATTGATTGCAGTAAGCTAGCAAATGATTTATCTACATCAGGGTTCATCTTACTTTCCTCTGTAAATTCTTCAGTGACTTCCATTGATCTAAATCTTTAGGGTGGCACTTAATACTTTCATGATCTGACCCTCATCTCCCTTTCAGATGTCATCACAGGCTAGATATCCTTCACCTCACGCTTTAATCAAATCTCTAAATCTTTTAAGTTTTGTGTTCTCAGTGTATGTTAAACTTCTACCTAAAAACCTACTTGTCCTTTGTGTTAGGAAGATCGAAGCCCTCCTTTCCCCTATGACAGCGATTTTCAGTTATTTTACAATTATTATCTAACTACCTAAATCCCCTTACTAGATGTGAGTAGTCTGAAATACTAACAAATTTTATTTTAGTCTTTTTTTTTTTTTTCATACTATGGATGCATAAACATTCAAAGTTTGTTGATAGGGGTGACTGTATTTTGGGGAATTTTTTTAAAAAAATTATTTCTGAGAGAGAGAGAGAACACCACGAACAGGGGAGGGTCAGAGAGAGAGGGAGATACAGAATCTGAAACAGGCTCCAGGCTCTGAGCTGTCAGCACAGAGCCCGACATGTGGCTCGAACCCACAAACCATGAGATCATGACCCAAGCTGAAGTCAGACGCTCAACCGACTGAGCCACTCAGGCGCCCCTGTTTTTGGCAATTTTTAAACATTTTTGTTTTCATAAAATAGTAATTGTCATAATTCTACATAGATAAAGTTGGGCAGACTCCAGTTCAAATAATAAATATGTTTTACAGCCTTCAGTTTGGAAACCTGCAGAATTATGATCGCCATGTTGGATGTATCCTTAAATAAAAATAGAAAATACTAGAATATGGAATAATTGCTTTCTAATATAATTAAGATACTTTTGGCTATGGATGACCACAGTAAATTACAGACTTTAAAAATACTTTGTAAGATTCTGTTTGAATACCATGCTCTTCCATTTTTATGTGGAAATCTATTCATATGCTAACTGTGGCTGACTTGCAGAAGCATACTAACAGTTTTTCAGTCAATGATTTACAGCTTTGGGTCAAGTAAATTCTCTTTGGTATCAAAATTTATTTTTATTAATAAAACTGTCAGAGAGATTACACAGGAAAAATGGGATTTAATGAATTCAAAGAACTTTGGGCAGCTCTTAATGCCTGGAAGCAAAACTTCATGACTATTGATCAAGACCAAAGTGGCACAGTAGAACATCATGAATTGAATGAAGCCATTGCTGCTCTGGGTAAGATTATTAACATTCTTTAGAATCTATCCAGATCATTGTTCTTTGATGAAATGAATCTTAACTGTTTCGATTTGTTAAGTAATAAAGTAATATATTATTTCACCAGCTATTGCCCAGTTTGATTTGAAGATTGTAGATGAGTTCTGACTGAAGACTTTTAACAAAACCGTTTTATCTGTGATTTTTTTCAAAAGATGATCTTTTATTATTCTGGTTGATAAAATAATTTCTGAATTTCCTCTGTTGGGTATATTAAAACGTATTCCTCTAATTGTTGGTAATCTCCGTTTATGTTGTGTTCTTTTGTAATTTGTTGAGATCTTTAAGATTTATTTATCTATTTTTGCTAGGTTTTTTCGAGGTATAATTAATGTGCAGTGTTATTTAATTTCAGGGAGACAACATTTCTGTTCTTTGCATATCAAGTGTTCAACAATTCTATACATTACTCAGTGCTCACCACAAGTGTATTCACCGTCTGTCACCATACAATGTATATTATGATCTTACTGACTGTATTCCCTATGCTGTATTTTTCCGGGTTACTTAATTATTTTGTTTTAATTTTTTTAAATGTTTATTTAAAACATTAAATAAGAGAGAGAGAGAGCAAAAGCTAACAGGGCAGGGGAAGAGAAAGAAGGAGACACAGAATCCAAAGCAAGCTCCAGGTTCTGAGCTGTCATCACAGAACCCAACACGGGGCTCAAACTTGTGAACCACGAGATCATGACCTTAGCCAAAGTTGGATGCTTAACTGACTGAGCCACCAAGGTGCTCCTTTTTAAATGTTTATTTTTGAGAGAGACAGAGCACAAGCAGGGGAAGGACAGAGAGAGAGGGAAACACAGAATCTGAAGCAGGCTCCAGGTTCTGACCTGTCAGCACAGAGCCTGATGCAGGGCTTGAACTCATAAACTGTGAGATCATGATCTGAGCCAAAGTTGGACTCCTGACTGACCCAGCCATCCAGACGCCCCTGAGGTGACCTAATTATTTTGCAACTGGACGTTTATACCTCTTATTCTTCCCTCTGGTAACCACCAGTTTGTTCTCTATATTTAAAGGTCTTTTTTGTTTGTCCTTTGTTTCTTTTGTTTTTAAAATTCCATATATTTGTGAAATCATATGGTATTTGTCTTTCTCTGACTTATCTCACTTAACATAGTGTCCTCTAGGTCCATCCATGTTGCATTGCAAATGGTAAGATCTCATTCTTTTTTATGGCTGAGTAATATTTCATTGTACATATGCACTACATCTTTTTTATCCATTTATTGGTTGTAAATAATGCTGAAATAAATACAAGGCTGCATATATCTTTTTGAATTAGTGTCTTTCTTTTCTTTGGAAATATCTGCTAGTGGAATTACTGAATAATATGGTATTTCTATTTTTAATTTTTTCTTTATTTATTTTGAGAGAGAGAGAGAGAGAGAGAAGGGGAGGGGCAGAGAGTGAGGGAGCGAAAGAGAATTCCAAGCAACCTTTCCCCTGTCAGGGTAAGCCCGTGGTCTACAAACCTACGTACCATGAGGTTATGACCTGAGCCGAAATTAAGAGTTTGAAGTTTAACCATCCTACCCACCCAGGTGCTTCCCTCTTTTTCTGATTTTTTGAGGATCCTCCATACTGTTTTCTGCAATGCTTACACCATTAACATTCCTACCAACAGTCAGAAAGGTACCTTCTCTACGTTTTCGCCAATACTTGTTATTCCTTGTCTTTTTGATTCTAGTCATTCTGATAGATGTATCATGATCTTCCATTGTGGTTTTGATTTGCATTTCCCTGATGATTCAGACTGTTGAGCATTTTTTTCATGTGTCTGTTGGCCATCTGTTTGTGTTCTTTGGGAAAATGTCTCTTTGGGTCTTCTGCATATATTTAATTAGATTATTTGGGTTTTTATTAGTGTTGAGTTGTATAAGTTCTTTATATTTGTAATATTAACACTTAGGATACGTCGTTTGCAAATATCTTCTCCCATTCAGTAGGTTGCCTTTTCATTTTGTTCATGGTTTCCTTCACTGTGTGAAAGCTTTTTATTTTGGTATAGTCCGGGTAGTTTATTTTTGCTTTCGTTTCCCTTGCCTCAGGAGACCTAGCTAGAAAAGCCAGTGTTAAGTTACTGCCTATGTTTTCCTCTAGGAGTTTTATGGTTTCAGTTCTTGCATTTAGTTCTTTAATCCATTTTGAGTTTGTGTATGTTGTAAGAAAATGGCCCAGTTTCATTCTTTTACATGTAGCTGTACCATTGTCCCAGCACCACATGTTGAAGAGACTCTTTTCCCCATTGTATATTCTTGCCTCCTTTGTTATAGATTAATTAATTTATTTCTGAGCTCTCTGTTCTGTTCTTTTCATCTATATGTCTGCTCTTGTGCCAGTACCACACTGTTTTGATCACTGCAGATCTATAGTATATCTTGAAATCTGAAATTGTGATACCTCCCCCTTTGTTCTTCTTTCTCAGGATTACTTTGGCTGTTTTGGGTCTTTTTAAGTTCCATACGAATTTTAATATAATTTGTTCTAGTTCTGTTATAAAATGCCATTGGTATTTTATAGGGGCTGCATTGAATCTGTAGATTACTTTGACTAATAGGGACATTTCAACAATATTGGTTTTTCCAAGCCCTGAGCATGGAATAACTTTCATTTGTGTCTCCCTCTCTCTCTGCTCCTCCCCTGCTCATGTTCTGTCTCTCTCTGTCTCAAAAATAAATAAACTATAAAAAAATTTTTAAAAATAAATTTGCATATAATTGCATCAGTTTGAATATTTTACTTATATTAATTTATACCTTTTATTTATTTATTTTTAGCAAGTTCCCTGGATTACATTTTATTGTAGCTACACATAGAATTTTCTCTACATTTATTATTGTTTATCTCTTTGAATAGATTAGTGTCTTTTGTCCAAATCTACTAATCTAGTAATATATAAAGACAATAATTCTAGGTCAGCATCCTTCACAATAAAGTATGCACATATTGGAAAGTTGCTAAAAATAGATCTTAAAAGTTCTCATAACAAGGAAATTGTTTATATAGGATGACAGATATTAACTAAACCTATTATAGTGATCATTTTGCAGTATACGCAACTATGAAATCATTATATTATACATCTGAAACTAACATAATTATACATGCCAGTTATACCTCAATGAAAAAGAAAAAAAGGAGATAAAGAATTTGAATGATAGCAAAAATCACTAATAATCTTTCCTTGATATTATTTAAATAACTGTGAAATTACAGAATTGAAACATTAGAGCATTAAAATTTACAAAATATTCTAGACATTATTTAAAAATAAAAATATATTCTAAAAACAGAAAACAGTAATTATGTTTTTTCTTAGCTATGACTTCATTACAGAGCTAGAATTTAGATATATATATGTACCACTTAACCATTAGTGATAAAGCCTTTGATAAAATTCAATATGGATGTGTTTTCTTTTTAGTATATATTTTTATGAAATGAATTTTGGAATTTTACTTTATGATTGTTTTTAAAGAAAATGCAATGCTGTGATGTTCTTAGGGTGTTTGGTTTTAAAAGTTTTAATGTATTAACTCTTTTTTCTAGGTTACAGGTTGAGCCCTCAGACATTAACTGCTATTGTTAAACGGTACAGCAAGAAAGGCAGAATCTTCTTTGATGATTACGTGGCTTGCTGTGTGAAGCTTCGAGCGCTGACAGGTATTAATCATTTAAAAATTGGCACAGCGTTATGTAGCTATTTTTCTTGTTCTTTTTTTTTTAATTTATTTTTTTAATGTTTTATTTTATTTCTAAGAGAGAGAGGAAGACCGCATGAGCAGGGGAGGGTCAGAGAGAGGGAGACACAGAATCAGAAGCAGGCTCCAGACTCTGAGCTGGCAGTCAGTATAGAGCCTGACGTGGGGCTTGAACCCACGAACTGTGAGATCATGACCTGAACCGAAGTCGGACATTTAACTGACTGAGCCACCCAGGCGCCCCTGTTCTTTTTCTTTTTGAAAGTTACTGATTTTTTTAAGTTTATTTATTTTGAGAGTGACAGAGACAGCATGAGGGGGAGAGGAGCCGAGAATCCCAGCTGGCTCCACACTGTCAGCATGGGGACTAGTGTGGGACTTGAACTCATGAAACCATGAGATTATGACCTGAGCAGAAACCAAGAGTGAGACACTTAACTGACCGAGCCACCCAGGTGCCCTGGTAGCTATTTCTTTGAAAAAGATCTCTCATTTTCTTCAACGAGTTTATAAGATTATGTATTTTTTGCCTTTATTCACTGTTTAATGAGTTTTAAGGCTTTAAAACTTTAGCAATATTGTGAACAAAAAATTTTAAAAAATTTAGCACTATGAATACTGAAAAATTATTGTAGCTCAGTTTTGGAAAGTTTTCATGTCTCAGTTGCCTTGGATATGAAATCACTTGATTTAATTCACTATGAAGAGAAAGAGGGAAGATGGCAGTGGAGTAGGAGGACCCTAGGCTCATCTTGTCCCATAAACACATCTAGATAGCTATCTAATCATCCTAAATATCCCATAAATCAACCTAAGGATTGACAGAACAAACTCTACAACTAAAGGGAGAGAAGAGGCCACATGGAAGAAGGTAGGATGAGTGGAGACATGATTTAGGGTAGAAATGGGTCATGGGTGCTGCAGGCAAGAGGAAGCTATAGTGACGGACAAGGGCTGGAGAGAGAGGAACAAATGGGAACACACAAGGAGAACGTTTCCCCAGAGCATTGGCTTGGAAAATGAGAGAGGCTGAATTTCATGATTTCTTGCAACTAGCAGGGCTTGAAGTTTGGACTTTTAAAGGTCAGCAGGCTTGGCTAGGATAGAGTCCAGAGGGCACTGTACTTTCGGAGAGAAGGCAGGCAAACAACCTGAGGGCAGACAGCATGGAAGCGAAGATATGAAGAATACTTGGTGCACACAGTGGGGAGAATATTCTTTCTTCTTGCACGTCTCTGAGAGGCAGAATTCATGGGGACACCTTTCCAGGAACAAAGGAGCCAACCTGTGTCATTTCCCTCCCCTACCCTTTAGCATGAACACACAGCCACATATGGGAAGCGGCGTAGCACGTACGTGGGCTGCCTGATTTGCTTATACCAAACTTCATACCCCTGTACTCTAGCAGGACTGACTTCTCAGTCAGGCGTGCCTCAATCTCAGAATGGCAGGCTCCTCCCCAGAAGACCAGCACAAGCTCCTTGCCTCCACCACATTTCCTGACCAAAGAGTTCTGTACGGCCTCACTTCTGGTCTCATGTAACAAGGAGAACAGAGCACATCTCCTTAAAACTTGCCACATTCTGGCTGACGACTGAACGTTGCCCACAGCAGGTAAGTAAGGCCTCTACAGATGACTGAACAGAAGGATAGAGCAGCCAAAACAAGAGCAGAACTCACACAGCACACACCAGAGACACTCCCTGAAGCACCAGGCCCTGGACATTACTGACCTCTTCTTCATAAAGCTGTTACTCTCAGGAGCAGGAGACATAACTGGCCTTTGTAACACACAGACAAGGCAGAGACTTAGACAAAATGTCAAGATGGAGGAATTTATCCCGAATGAAAAAAACAAGATAAGGTCACAGCCAGAGATCTAACCAAAACAAATGTAAGTAACATGCCTAATAGAGAATTTAAAGCAACAATTATAAGGTTACTCACTGGGATTGAGAAAAGAATAGAAGACATCAGGGTGACCCTTACCACAGAGATAAAAGAGTTGAAAAAAGAATCAGAGATGAAAAATGTAAAAAATGAGATTGGAAACAGGCTTGATACAGTGAACAGTAGGCTGGAAGAAGCAGAGGAATAAATTAGCTGTATTGAAAGCAAAATAGAAAATAATGAAGATGAACAAAAGAGACAAAGAATTATAGAACATAAGAATAGACTTATGGAACACAGTGACTTCATTAGGCATAATAACATTCATATTATAAAAGTCCTAGAAGAAGAAGAGAGAGAAAAGAGGGCAGAAAATTTATTTAAAAAAAAAAAGAGCTGAAAACTTCCCTAATCTGGGGAAGGAACCAGACATCCAGATCTAGGAGGCACAGAGAACTCCCATCAAAATCAATCAAAGCAAGCCAACACCAAACCTACTGTAATAATGTTTATAAAATAAAATGATAAAAAATCTTAAAAGCAGCAAGGCAAAAGAAGTCCTTAACTTATAAGGGACATTATAAGGGACAGCCCATAAGGCTAGTTGGAGATTACTCAACAGAAACTTGGCAAGCCAGAAAGAAATGGCATGCTGTATTCAAAGTGCTGACTGGGAAAAATCTGCAGCTAAGAATACTTTATCCAGCAAGGTTATCATTCAGAATAGGAGAGTTTTCTAGACAAGTAAAAATGAAAGGAGTTAGTGACCACTAAACCAGCTCTGCAAGAATATTAAAGGAGACTCTGGGTGCAACAGAGAGACCAGAAGTGACAAAGACAAGAAAGGATGAGAGAAAATCTCCAGAAACCGTGACAAAACCGGATAATAAAATGGCATAACTGTTTTGAATGCAAATGGACTGAACACTCCAGTCGAAAGACATAGGTTGTCCAAATGGATTAAAAAATAAGACTCATCTGTACACTGCTTACAAAAGACTCATTTTAGACCTAAGGACACCTGCAGAATGAAAGTGAGGGGATGGAGAAAAATTTATCAAGCAAATGGAAACAGCCCAAGTATCTATCTACTAATGAATGGATAAAGAAGATGTGGTATGTATACACAGTGGAATATTACTCAGCTATCAAAAGGAATGAAATCTTGTCACTTGCAACAACATGGATGGAGCTAGAGAGTTTCAAGCTAAGTGAAATAAGTCCGTCAGAGACAGACATACCATATGGTTTCACTTATATGTGGAATTTAAGAAACACATGTGCAAAGGGAGAAAAGAGGCAAACTAAGAAACAAAGCTATAGAGAGAACAAACTCATGGTCAACAGAGGGGTGGTGGTTGGGAGGATGGGCTAAATAGGTGATGGGATTACGGAGTGCACTTGTGATGAGCACCTGGTGTTGTATGGAAGTGTTGAAACACTGTATTGAACACCTGAAATTAATATTCCACTGTGTTAACCAAATGTAATTTCAATAAAAACTTTAAAAACCATTTTTAATTTTTTTAAATTTTTATTTATTTTGAGAGAGAGAGAGGGCACACAAGCAGGGGAGGGCCAGAGAGAGAGAGCGAGGGAGAGAATCTCAGTCTCTGCTCTGTCAGAACAGAGCCTGACACGGGGCTCAAACAAACCACAAGATCTTGATCTGAGCCAAAGTTTGACACTTAACTGACCCTGCCACCCAGGCACCCCTATAAAACCTTTTTTTTGGTTTTAATTGAGAATAAAATTAGTCATTTTTTAGTACCTAGGGACACTAAGAATTTGCAACTGTATATTTTAAATTGTAATAATTTTTTTTGTTTTTTTAAAGATTTCTTTAAGAGAAGAGACCACTTGCAACAAGGGATTGTGAATTTTGTATATGATGATGTAAGTATTCTGGTATTTACATTGTCCCCTAGATGTGTTCATAGTTGTCAAAAAATTTAAGTGATCTCTGGTACCAATACTGGGAATAATATATTTTATAGACCATATTCTTTTTCTGAATTTATCAGCTAAGTGCAAATAAAAGATTAAATGTTTGTATAAATATCAGATTGACATTATATTAAGCCTAAAGGTACTTCTAATTTTATGACATGTTCTTGGCAGTTTACTTTCAAATCACTTTTAAGGGCAAAACTACCATTTTTATAAACAGTAGTTTACTTTTGGTAATCTTCGAGACAGAGGAAATTTTTATCTATGATAGATTTTGAAGCTGCTCATTTCTGTTTCAAATGATTGCAATTAACCTAATTCCATGGTGGTGTTTTTTTAATTGAAACTATAGGAAAAATTTTATTTCACGTGTATTTCAATGCATCAGGGTCTTTGTTTTGTTCTTGTTATGAGGAAGTTGTAGAGGCAACATTTTCCTACTCGTACATACTGGTTTAAATTACAAGGCTTGGAAACTTTAAAAATTTCCCCTCTTGTGAAAATGTTTTCATGGAGTGTAATTAATCAAAAACAGAAAAGCATTTTTTTGTTACCAGCTGATGATTTTGCTTATGTGTTAGTTTTTGCAGGGTACAATGGCAATTTGAATGTCTAGAATTCGAAAGCTGAAGAATACTGTGATTTTTTTTACTTGGAAGAAATGAACTGGACTACTTTGAATTTAACGCTTTTTGGGCTTTTCCATATTTCTACCTTGGTCTTTCTATGTGTTTTTACCTTAGTGCATAATTCAGAGCAATACAAACGTGTTTTTGTTTTTGGAATATTATTGCTTTTTGAAAAGCTATCACTTAACAGATATCTGTATAGTATCATAAGACATTGGTATATGATGAATTGATGTAAATACCTTTTAGCCTTAATTTTTAACATTGTAAGCCCAGAAGAATGTATTTACAAGATAGATTATATAAGCCAAATAATGAAAGCCTAGATAAAGCTAATGTATACTTACCTGAAGGTTACAAATTATACTTTATTTTATTATTTTATTATTTTATTTTTTTGTGGTTGTTAGTTTGGAAGGTGAACTAGAAGGAGAAGTCTGGATTTTGTGCCATATTTGTAGAAGGGTTTCTGTATTCCTTCATTGCATCATTTAATAACGGAAACTCACTGGTCTTTGCCTGTGAAGAGGAAAATTGTAGTTCCTAAAATTTTATATTGCATCACCTTAGGTAGACTGCAAATTAATCTACAAAGAAATAAGGCTACAAGAGGCATTTTTTCCTTTATTTTCAATGTATATTTTTCTTTGATATACTTTACTGTCTTCTGTGGAAAAAAGTTCTTCACAAAACATACCTTTTGTTTCTGCACTTTTTTTCATTAGAGACGACCTACAGGGCTTAAAATGGCATCTTCCTTATAAATCTAGACTTTCTGGAGGAGACATATTTGTAATGAAATGTCAACATTTCAGTGTATTCTGTTAAACTAAATGGTTCCATATATAATGCCAACTGTTTACAAAGTTAAAAAAAATCAGGTAATCTACTGATTTGTTTAACTGTCCAGGAACTGTAAGTTTGCCTTCCTTGACAACATTTGCTGCAGGGTTTGGCATTGCTAAACCAGAGAGTCGTTGAGCGCGGGTGTGTAACGTGGTGGGTACTGACCAAAGCAGGCACCACAGCCTGTTTCTGAGTGGCATCCTCTTGGAAAATGCAAAGTGGTCCTCACATCCTTAGTATTTAAGATCCCTAGTATAAGCTGTTGTAGTTAATCCAGCCCCTTTCTTTGCAAGCACTCTAAGTCTTTCTTCATGAAGATTTAAAAAAGCATATGTGTTTCTTACACCTTAACTGAATGTCTTCCAGCTTAAAGTGTGCGTACGCATTGACATAATTTTAGTATGACTGGTGACCAAATTATGAATTTTATACAATTCTGGATTTCTTAAACGATGGAATAGCATCTTGGAAAAAAACGTTTCGTAAAGTTACAGAATTTTAAATGCACATTTACTTTCAACAGTCCTGAAAAGGAAGTATCGAATAGTCATTTTGACGTTATAATTTTATATAATTAGCTGTCAGATTCATTTGGTCAGCAGTATAAACGTGTGAATAAATAATCCATATACTTTTGTCCTCTGGCTGCTAATTTTTCTTCCATGAACATGTATTTGATAATGTGATAATGTGATAATGTTAACTGAGCCATAAAATAAAACAGTATTCTAATTAGAAGTGTTGTAGGAAGAAACTAGTGTAAACACACTCTTACATCATTCATGTTGAATAAGGGTGATAATATGACTCAGCAGCCTGGGATCTTAACATCTAGCTTACAGGTAATCCAGCTGCTGTACCAGTCTGAGGTCAGTTATAATTTTTCTTACTTGTAGACTAATGGTTGAGGCTAAAAGCTTTAAAAATGACATGATATTATTCATCTAAGTTTCTGCCAAATGACACTTTGTATTCAAACTCTCCATATGATTCTCTGACTCATCCTCTTCCAAAGGTGTTCCTATGAATTTTGGTCATAGTCAGTCTGTGAAGGAGTTCCAGTGACCAAACATATTTGGGAAATTCTCACCCTTTTCAGGGAGCTTGATAAAGCCTGAGGTACATAAAATCCTGGTTACTTCTGTTTGACTTCATTTGTTCCAGACATTTTTGATCACAGAACTCCTTTCTCTAGCAGAATTAATTTTCTATACCAGTCCAACTTAATTGTCAGACAGTTCTTTTGCACTGTCCATTAACTAGATAATCTTATAAAACATTAGGCACAGAGAATATTTTACACGGATTTTTTATATCAAAATGCAAAACTCACTTTTTGATGCTCTAAAGCTAATTGATGTAAACAGACATCCATGACTAAAGTCAAAATTAAATAGTCCTATGAGGAACAAAGCCGGGAATATGAATACAGTCTGGTAGTTTGCACTGGTTAACTCACACCCAGTTTTCTTGTAAAGAGTAAATTATTGAATAATGTACACTCTTAACATCTAAGTGCTTTTATTTATACAGTAAACATGTTTCCATGTCATTTTGAGAATTTTTTAATAAACATTCAAATAGCTTGCTGTAAAGTTTTGTATCATACAAAATCTGTTAACATATATGAGATGCTTCAGTTCAAATAACAGTGCAGGAATTCACCTACGCCTAAAAAACTGCCAAATGGTTCAGTGTCAGGTATTGCACTTCTATTTTGAGTGGCAGTTTACACCTTTTAAATTATACCAAGGGGAAATCAGTACTATTGAAATCTTAATTTGGTCCACTTTAAATTTAATTTCAAGGACTGTGCTCATTTGATCTATTTAAGCATGCATTCACAAACAAAAAGTAATTTAAAAGTGTCAAATGATATATTTATTTCCAGAAAAGGTATTCACCCTGGAAGAAACTAGAATTTATTAATGAAGTTCAAAGTCTGTGCAGTTTAAAAAATGACAAAAAATCAATTTGTAATTCTTTCTTTAAGGAAAATATACAAATCAAGTTCATTTGTACTCGTACGGCATTACTAAACTGGACAAATTAAATAAATACGATTTGTCAGAAATGTGCTTTTCTTTTGTCCTTTTGACAGACAAACTCATAGATGATATGTTTTCTCGAATTTGTAGCAGTTTTCTGGGAAATTAATAGGAATAAGTTAGTGAACATCTGGTAATTATATCTAGTGAATAAAAATCCAAGACTTATTTCAGGTTAGCATTTTTCCTTTTCTCTTAAACTTTAAAATGCAACCATGGGTATTTTATTACTTTGAAACTTGTATTAAAAAAAACACATCTTTTTGATCTTATAAGCACTTTGAAGTAAATGTACAATGCTAAGATATCATCTAAGAGAATGTCTAGACTTTATAATACAATTAGATGACACAAATTAAAAACAAATATTTAAAACTTCTGTTATAGTGATGAATGCAGAGAAGATTTTAAGCAAATACTGTTTAGGTACTTTGTAGTATAGAATAAGGTTATAACATCATATATGCCCATATATTAAGTTAAATATTTCCTGTAATTTAGAATACTGAGCACAGGGCTACTTTCCAGCGAAACATTAGGACACTTATGAAAAATTTCTATCTGGCTTACTATCAGCTCATTATTTGGATGCTGGGAAATCTGTGCTTTTGTTTCTTGCCATGTCTTTTTCTGCTTCTTTTAAAAACTTAGTTTACTGGCATCAAAGAAGAGAGCCTGATAGTGCTTCGCATTCCTTTTACCCAGGCAGCTTGGCCATGTTCAGCTTTGTGTATTATTGTGTGAGCATTCAAAACTTCAGGTGTGCTTCTGTAAATCTGAATGTAGAGTAAGTAGACATTGGCAGCACTCTCAGATTACTATGATGCACCAGACAGGGGGTGAGGAGGGTCCTTGCCTATGTGCTACTTACATTTCCAGCTGTGCCCCTTCCACAACATCAGAGATGGTGGCGATTTGGAAAGCTTACAGGAAATGAGAATTTGGGCTACATCATTTAATAGCTATATTCAGAGACAAATATGCCAGGAATTAGTACCTTCTCCGGATACACTGGATGGGGGCGGGGAGGTGGGGTGGGCTGCATCCCAACCTTTTCCCTTAAGCATGAAAATATAAATAGGTACTTTACAGATACATGCAGTCATTTGCATTTTAGCTGGCTGTATTTAATCACATTTATATTGCTATGATTACTGAAATTTCAAAAGATAACCTGACCAGGTATGAATGTTCCAGAAACATACTAAATAAAGATCCATATTCTTTTGAAAATTATAGGCCATATCAGAACATTTTCAGATTACCCAAAGTCTTGGATGCATATTTAATTTCCCAAAGCTGTCTAAATGGATCACCCCCAGAACTCTCTGATGGCAAGAGATTTTAAGTTTTTAAATAATTAGCTTATTCATACTTTGATTCTCATTTTCTAATCAGCCTCACTTAAAGATACCGATATGTTGCTTTCTGCTAATCTATATTCAATTTGGTTTTTCATTTATTAAATAGTGAAGTGTTCTCTTGGCTTCTTAAGCCAAAAAAAAAATGAATGGTGGAGAGTCTAAACCACGAAACAGAGTAAATAATCCTTCGCTTAGAAAATGCCACATTATGACCAACTAATTTGACTGAAAAGATTTCTCTGAAGATAGATTCTTTTTCTTAAATAACAGATGAACGGTCCTAAGGGAGGAATTAGGATATATGAAACATAGGCAAATGAAAATAATGTTACCTGGATATTCTCATTCTTGATGAAAGTAAATGAATCATCCATTCATTATACAAAAATTTGTGTCCCATGTAATTTGAAGCCTGCTTAGTTATCAGAAATTGTAAGTAATGAAACAGTAAATGTTTTAGTAAATTACCGCTGTGTTCTTCACAGTTAATAATAAGTGAAATGTTTTTATGTTTCTTTAATTTCAGATGTAATGCTTTTACCACTCAGTCCAGTTTACTGGTGTCCCAGTGAACTCCGTAAAACTGTAGTAGCACTGTTGCAATTATGTGACTTCATGAAATACATCAGCACCACCATGCCTATATCTAGCACTGTATCTAGTAAAATGTTGGAAATAGTTGGCTTCTCTAATAAAAGCTAGCTAATGAGATTTACTTTCTTTTTCCCCAAAATAATTTCTTTTACAAATTCTTGAATTTTCATGTATAAATAGATCAGAAATTATATGCTTCGTTCTTAAATTATGTATATATACTATATTTTCAATACAACTTGTACACTTTTAGCTACCAAAAATCTGCAACCATTTTTACATGAAATTTACATTTTTCTTATTTACAGTTATTTGTAGATTATTGCAAAACTAGTTGTGCAAGTAGATTACACTGTCAATACCACATACCGATCTTTGAAGAAAATATTTGCTAAAAAATAAATATTTCTGCACAGAGTATTTCAAAAGCATCATGATTTCATGCTACATTATGTGCATAAAGACTAGGAAAAAGTATGTGTTTTGGTAGATTGTTTCATTACATTTAAAGCATTCCAAGGTACTTACTACTTAACCAATGTGAGTGAACTTCTTTATATCAGATGACTGACATTTTCAAATGATTACATACATTATTTTTTGAAATGTATTATTTAACTGGCAGACATTCTGATAATATAGTTTTCTATCAAAATCATAGAAAGCAAATTTCAGCTGAAAAGAGTAATGTGTCTAATTAAAATCAATAGGTGCCCAGGAGGTGAAAACTAGGAATTTCTTGGTGTTTTTATATTTTTAGTATTTGGAAAAAGGGTGCCATATAATTTCAATGTTATTATAACATTGCATCATCTGAAGAGACTGTGGAGGAGGTAAATATGAGATGCCAATCCTTAAATTTTACTCCTAAATAAATGAGGATGCTGAAATGGTATGGAATTTTCTTACTTATGCTCAAAATACTTAATAGAATGTCAGCACAAAAAGTATATGATTTAAGTGCTAACAGGTGTGATTATGATACATACCAGGGAAAGTACCAAAAATGAAGGTTAAATAAACATAGAGTGCTTTAAAACCATAGTTGTACCAAATTATTTTGTATCTCTCAAAGTATAAATTAATTAATGAGCCCCAAGTGTCATGATTTCATGACTACAAGTTAGGAATTCAACTAACCTTTGACATTAGCTTTTCAAGAATAATCATGTTAATTTTGCCACTTCTCACAATAAAAATATTTTATTGGGAGCATTTCCCTAATACTTGCTACTCATTTAAAAGTTTGATTATGATTGCTAAAACAGTGAAATCGGTCAGTTGATCGTATGGTTCTGTGTTCTTAACATTGCATTCCTACAGATGTTTTATCCTATTCATAGTGATAATGTAATAGTTTTAAAAAACTTCTTGTTAGTTATTTCTCTCAACCTCCGCTTAATAGTTTATATAAATAAGCCTTGTGATAATTTCTTTTCATGCTGTCAATTATTAATAATTCATGTCTTCTGTGAATTTTCTGTATTGTATACTCTTAGAGCAAAGTGTATTTGTACTACAGAACATGTAATATTCCAAGGTTGGGCACGGATCAGTCACAACAACTAATACTTGACAAAGCATTTTAAAACATCCTTTTAGTTTTTAAAATATTAACATCACTTTGTTGTAAGTTAAGTGGAATGCAGAGACAGCAGCCTTGAATGAGATCACTTAAGAAGTGAGGGGGTAGAGGGGAAGCTATCGCATACCTAGAAAACAATCACAATGCAAATATATAATTCTGTGGATGTTGGACAGAGATAATTTTTGACAAATACGGGGATGCTATAGCAGTTCCCTAAAACTGGTGGACTTCTATTCTGAGTAAATGGATCTTTGAGAGCCATGTGAGAATCACTGGATAGATTTTTGTCAGAGTGGGAATACTGTCAGTGTTGGGTAGGGGGAAGGCCCATGGAAGGTTTTCAGAAGACCTAGGTTGTCCTACAGCACTGCCACCATAATGACACAGTATTTGTGATGATGCACGAGTCAATTATAAGGAGCTTATAGTTACACAGTGCTTTGTGGTTTACAAAGCACTTCCATATGCATCCTTCAGAGGCTCCCTAACACTCCTCAAGATATTTAAGATACTGACTTTATAATGTTCGCTACTGGGGCTCACTGAGGGTTTGTCTGAAAAGTGGAGACAGTAGGATTTTCATTCAGGTTTACTGAGTCTCCTGCCTTTTCTAGCATTGCACACTAGACTTGGGCAGTCTGTCTGTATCTGTGCCTGGTGGTGAGGGCCTAGATGCCTGCAAAGAACCACTACAAATATAAATTCTACTTTCTGAAAAAATAGAAAGTGTATTTTCTTTCAAAACTGTATTTGCAAAATGCAGTTTCAAATATCCACCTGGGGACTATATCGTGGATCTAAAGAGGGGCTTCCCCAGTGAGCCAGTCTTTACAGACCACTTTTTAGGAGTGACCTACCTGGGCACTGATTCAGAGAAGACAGGTTTGTAGCAATGACATTCATACTCTTGCTATCATTATAAATAGTAAGTATTCTTTAAAACTAAAAACCTGATAGTGCAAAATTCAATTAGAGAAAACAATAGCTACCCTTGGGTTTTCTGGATCAAAACCATCAGTCTTGTTAATGACTTTAGCTGGAGGCACAGCACATTACAGAAAAGCTATATTGTGGAAAATTATTTGTTTTCCTGATTGTTTTTAATATCATGGTCCTGGATGAGAATCAAAGAATCTAGCATTTGAGGGGTACCTACTGTGTGCCAGGCACTTTACTATATGCTATCTCATTTCTTCCTCAAGCTTCGTTGAGGCAGGTACCATTATCTCATCTTTACAAATTGAGGAAAATGACTCAGGCTAATTATATTGGTCAGGGTCACACAGCTATTCATGAGAGAACTCCTCCTGAGACCATGTTGGTCTGACTGCAGAGCCCATCTCTACGTCAGTGATTCTCGAAGTTCTTGTATTTATCGAGATCATAAAGAAGAGGGCTTGTTAAAAGACGACTGCTGGGTTCCGCCTCCAGAGTTTCTGAGTCCGTAGGTCTGGGTGGAGCCTAAGAATATCCATTTCTA